ATTTTAGCATATATTAAAAATGCTGGATTTCATTATGATTTTTATACATGTGTATAACGTACTCTGGTCATATTCACCTTCTCGTTACTCTCTCTTGTCTCTGGGAAATATTTTAAATTACTAAAACTGTTACAATCAAATAACTTTGAATTCTTAAACTGCTGCAGTCTTTAATGTGTTATCCTTCCGTTTAATATATCACCTGATCTGCACTTAGTAACTCATCCTAGCACTCACGGCATACCCTGCAAGAGTCAAAAAATGATGTCTGCCATTTCAACATTGTTTGCCCAGTCTCCAAATGACTGTTTACAGACAATTGTTTAAAGAACAAGCTGCAATAGGATCTCCACTTCCGGGTAGAAACAGAAGCAGATCAAAAGTTTGGATAAGTAAATATTCTTCTTTCAAAAGATTTAATTGGTATAAAATATTGCAATCCTGGTGTGATTCATAGCACAACTTTAAGGACTACCTTTAGTTTTCTGAACTGAAATGATGATGACAAAAATGACAGCAGTAGCTAAACTTTCCCAGAGAACTATTCTAACTACTGTAAATATAATTATTCTTTAATCCTCACAGCAAATCTATGAGGCAAGTCCTATTTTACCCACAACATAACCTTTCAGAACTCGTGCTAGGGAAGTTGGGTAACTTACCCAAGACTACACATTTATGAGTCAGTGAACCCGGAAGTAGTTCCAGTGAACTGGGAAGTAATTATTAAGACCCTTGGATATGTTCAAGTTGTGAAAGATACTATGGAGAGTTGGGGGAGGGGTGACCTTTGCAACACAGAAATCATAATATAGGAAATGTTGAAGTTTTGGTAGATATCACAGGAGTTTCTGCAGAAGACAGGATGCAGGGTTTCTTCACATGTCATCAGTGGACCACTAGTTTCATTCGGATCTATCTACCTGTGAGGTTTATTTAAAAAACAAATTAGTTGTGTAAGGTCCTGGATTCGATAAAATAAAAATTATTTTTTAACTGACCTTGTCTCAGAATTAGTAAAACTGAAGTGATGATTGGAGCTGAGGAATTTGTACTGGAACTAGACACTTCTACCTTTTATGCTCCCCCCACCTTCTAAACTTCCGTAGGTTATTTGATATACATTGCAGCTATGAGGCTGCTGCCTTAAAGGATGGGTCAGTTGGAGTTTTAAGTGATGGTAGCATTCCCAAGTAACAGTAACAGGAGCCAAGATACACAGGAGAGGCACAGTAAGGAACCTGGTCTCATTAGTGAGGAGGCTGTGTGGAAAGCAATGAGGAGGAAGGCAGGGCTTTGGAAATCAGACTAGCTTAAATCTAGTGAAGAAAGAGTCACAAAGGTTTGAGTATGAAAGCAGCCTTTTTTGATGAGAACATTATCCAAGAAAAATTAATCTATAAGTTAACTCTTATTTTATGAATTTTATCTTGCCACATTTTGTTATTAATACTTTATAAACATCTGTATTTCTTATGTTTACTTCTGGATCTCTCATAGGAAAGAAATATATTATGTCATAAATGTCTTTGAAAAATCTAAAATGTTCCTCAAATGGGGTATAAAAGTCAAATGCTATAGTTTGAAAACTAAAAGCAAATAAGTAGATTTATTGTACTACATGACTATGGGTCACAAGACACAAATTTTTCTGCCTATAACCCTCATGTATTGTTGGCAAAAGTGTTAACTGGTAAGACTTCCCAGAGATGGTATAGCAAATAACTACCAATTTTTTATTTTGGGGGGGTGGGACAGTTCTGGGGTTTGAACTCAGGCCTCCGTGCTTATTTTGGTTTTATGAGGCAGATCTCACTGTATAGCCCAGACTGACTTCAAATTCTGTCCTCCTGCCTCAGCCTCCCAAATCCTGGGATTATAAAAGTGTGCCACCATATCAAGCTATTTTAATTTTACTTATTTGTTTTCTTGAAACTACTGGGGTTTGAGCTCAGGACCTCATGGTAGCTAGGCAGGTACTCTACCACTTGAGCCATGTCCCCCACCCCTTTTTTGCTTTAGTTATTTTTCAAATAGGGTCTTCTATTTTTGCCCAAATCTGTCTTGAACTGTGTTCCTCTACCTATTCCTCCTGATGGAATGACAGGCATGCACTACTATGTCTAGCTTATTTGTTGAGATACGGGATCTTGTTGTGTTTTTGCCCAAGTTAGCCTTGAACTATGATCCTCCTGACCCTCCCCCATGAGTAGCTGGGATTATAGGTATGAGTCACTGTGCCTGGCCCTCCAAGAAATTTTAAGTGAAAAAAGCTAGATGTAGAAGAGTGGGTACAGTATGCATGTTTCTCAAAAAGATGGAAATGGGATATTTTAAGAGGGTTCAAGAGTAGAGGAAGCCAGTCATTTTACCTTATACTATTGTGTACTGCTTAAGCTCTACAAGATCTATCACTGTAGGCTCAAGGTGTGTCTCAAGTCACACCTTGCTGGCACCTGCCTAGCATGTTCAAGGCCCTGAATTCCAACTCCGGTACCACAGCAATAAAAAACTATCATTGCAAATCCACCTTTTTAGATGAATTAAAATGTATAGTGGCATTAAAAACCTGCCAGTAAAGTAGTAGAGTATTCCCAAGTGGGAAACCAAGTGATCAAAGTGAGAGCATCCAAAGGAAGTGTCAGAATGACATCTGCTAGTGTTTAAGATGTACTCTCAGTCTCTTTGTTTCTGTGGATATTCAGTGGACATTGTGTTGAGCACATGCTAACTGTGTGCTGGCTCTTGAAGTAAAGTTTTAACTTGAACCTAAAATTTTCTTTAGAATAATTGCCTTTTTTGTGGCTCACTGCCTATTTTTGTTAATGAGGGGTTTTGTACACTTTGATGTGTTTCATTATAACATTTTCATGCGTGTATTTAATGTACTTTGATCACATTCACTCTCTCCATTACCCTCTCTTGTCCCCTCTCCCCCTACCCCTTCCTCTTCCCAAATAGTCCCCCTTCTACCTCCATTTCATTTTTAAACAAACTAGATTCCACATATAAGAGAAACATGCTACATTTGTCTTTCTGAGTCTGGCTTATTTTGCTTAATATGAGGATCTCCATTTCCATCCATTTGCCTGTAAGAGATATAATGCCATCATTATTCTTTACAGTTGAATAATACTTCATTTTATATATTTATATGTGTATACCAATTTTTCTTTATACATTCATCCATTGATGTGCATCTAAGCTGATTCCATATTTCACTATTGTGAATAGTGCCACAATAAACATAGGTGTGCAGGTGTCTCCACTGTATGCTGACTTAGATTCCTTTGGGTATACATCCAGGAGTGGTATAGCAGAATCATATGGCAGTTCCATTTTTACTTTTCTGAGAAACCTCCATACTCATTTCCATTGTGGCTGCACTAATTTATAATCCTACCAACAGTGTATAGGATTCCTACACACACACACACACACACACACACACACACACACACACACACACACACACACAGCCTTATTTTCAGTCTGTTTTCTTGACGTTAGCTGGTCTTATTGAGGTGAGGTGGAATTTGTCTGATTAGTACAGAAGTTGAACATTTTTTCATGTATGTATTGCTATTTGTACTTCTTATTTTGAGAAATGTCTGTTCAATTCATTTGCCCATTTACTGATTGAATTGTTTGTTCTTTTGGTACTTAATTTTTGTGAATATGTGTTCATATGTTCTGGATATCAGTCCCTTGTTGGATGAGTAGCTAGCAAAGATTTTCTCCCATTCTTCACTCTGATAATTATTTCCTTTGTTACACAAAAGCTTTTTTAATTTGATGCAATCCCATTTGTCAGTTCTTGCTATTATTTCCTGAGCTATGGGAATCCTTTTAGAAACTTGTTGCCGGTGTCTGTATCTTGAACTGTTTCCCCTATTTTTTCCTCTGTCGTCTCAAAGTTTCAGGTTTTACATTAAGGTCTTTGATCCAATAATGGGCTTGTAAACTTAGAAGGAAACTTCAAGATCGGTTTCCTCATCTTCCACCAGAGAGAGCTGAAATCCAGATGAAAGTGTCCCAGGTCCTTAGCAGCAGAGCTGTTAGGAGACCCAGACCTTTCACATGCCAGCCATGCTCTCTCCACACCCTGACGTCAGACGGCACTCACCTTGGAGTTGCCCTTGTCCTTTTCCTTCCACCAAAGTCAAGTGAATTCAGATGTTTTTCAGTAGATTTGTGTCCTCAACTAACTAACTTTGTGAGAAATGCAGTGTTTTTAATACTCTACACATTTAAAGGAAACTGAAATATTCTGAATTTCTGGTTTTTCTCTCAAAAAGTCACATTTGAATTTATATGCCATATGATTTGTGCTCTAAATTTTGTTTGGACACTTGCCTACCATGTTAACAACTCATACATGTCTCTAGTTATCACAGCATCATGTTAAAGAAAACTGCTGTGTGGGTGACTTTGTCCCCTAAAATGAGGAAATGCAGCTGGCCATGTTTTCTGAAGTCTACAGTTATGTTGGTTTTGATGGGGTAGGTGTTGTCTAACTCTGTTGTGGTTCCCCCGAGATCAGAATCGCCTCTTGGTCCCTCCCAAGGCTTAGCTGACTCAGTGTGATAAGCCTGCAAGGCACTCAGCACACTGTTTATCAACTAATTATTTTCTCCCACATCCTTTTCTATATTGAAAAAAAGGTACACACAACTGGAGGGTGTCGCATTTTTTTTATTGAATTTTGAGGGCACAGTATCAATACTGTGACTGCAGCCAGAGCGTGCGGTTTACGTGCCTTGTCCTATACCCAGTAGAGGGCTGTGTGGTCTTCCAAAGGCTATAATTCAGCACATGTCCTTCGACCTCATTGTTAGCATGTGAAACCATCCTAGTTTAACAGCGCCCTAGTACTTTCTTCCTGGGCATTTGTAGATGCAAAGGCCAGGCTAGGTCAGTAGACAACCCCAGAACCCAGATTTGCTCAGTGTTTCCCGCTTTAATTTGCATATCTCACATTTCCCTGCTGTTCCATGAAGCTGCCCGAGAAATCATCTGGCTAGAGCGAGAGGAGCGAGCCCGGCAGCACTATGCAAAGCACCTGGAGGAGCGGAAGAGGAAGCTGGAGGAGCAGCGGCTGAAGGAGGAGCAGAGGAGGGCGGCCGTGGAAGAGAAACGAAGGCAGCGGCTGGAGGAGGACAAGGTGAGGCCCCTGGGGAGGGAGGCCTAAGTCATCCGACACAGCAAGCATCGGTTCAAGAATTATGCATGTCCTCAGATTCTGAATTCCACTTTCAAAATATGGTACCATGGGCTAGCTTAGTGGTAGCATGCCTGCCTGCCACATACAAGGACCTGGGTTCAATCCTTGAACCACAGAAAAATTAAAATAAACGAGGCATGGTGCTTTGAGGGGAGTGGATTATGAGAAGCCTATGAGAACTTGACATAAGCACAGTTGTGCTCAATGATCTACAGGCTGAATATGGCAAGGCCCCAGCTGCAGAAGGGGGTGAAGGCAAAATGCAGCACAGCTGCTTTTCCTAAGTTGTTTACATTCAGAGAAGTAGAGAGCAGGTTTCTCTTCTTACAGTGTCATGCCCCCTCCCTGAGAACTGCTGCTCTACCTCCTTGTTCACCACTGGATATAAGAGACCCTCTGAGGGAGGACAGGGGGTTTTTTGATGGGGGTTGATTGATTGATGGGCTGCTGAGTTATGCTAGAGATTAGAGGAAACATGGGACAGTGCAAGTCTGATGGGACAGTACAAGCCTTAGCACTAAGACTTTAAGAGAGAACGTGGGGACAGTGCAAATCTGAGGTCCAAGACTTTAAGAGAGATTAAAGGAAAACATGGGATAGTGCGAGTATAAAGAAAGACACTTTAAAGAACAGAAAAGAAGAAAGACTTTAGAAATAAGGTTTTAAAGAATAAGAGAAAAGAAACAAAGTAAAAGAAGAGTTATTAGAGAAAAGAAGCAACGAGGCTGTTGTGCATCTCCATCCCAGCGCCTAGCACACCTGGCCCCAACTTTCTGCATGTCTGTCTTCTGTTTGTTCTTTCTGCATCTCCAGTCATCCCTAGGTAGAATAAGAGAGCGTGAGAAAGCTCGCAACAGTGCTTCACACCTGTAATCCCAGCACTCACGAAGATGAAGCAGGAGAATCATGAGTTTGAAGCCAGCCTAGGCTACATAGTGAGAATCTGCCTCAAAACTACATTAATTAATTTAATTAAATTATAATAACGTGTGTGTTAAGCTCAGTTTTGGTGAAGACCTGCTACCATGATTCTGAGTGTTGACGAAAGCGTCACACCCAGAAGTGGGGCGTTTATCTGTGTCTCTGTCACGTGTCACGTTTCCTTTGCTGACACAGCAAGGGCTTCACGAGCTGGGAGCTCATGGTTTTCATAACCTTCCAAGATCTGTATTCTTCCCACCTCAAGATAACCACACACGTTGGGGAACAGCTCAACAGTACTGCGGTAGGGTGGAAATTTAGGTTGTAGCCTTCATGACCTGCGTCCTGCCTCATGTTGAGAAGCTTCAGACAGTCAGGTGGGAGAGGAGCACTGATATCTGTGTTTCCCTTAGGAGCGCCATGAAGCTGTTGTGCGTCGGACGATGGAGAGGAGCCAGAAACCAAGGCAGAAGCACAACCGGTGGTCATGGGGTGGCCCTCTGCACGGGAGCCCTGGTATCCACACGGCAGGTAAGCATGCAGAGACCTCTGTAAACCTCTTCTTCACCTTTTTTCTGCACAGTATGACTGCATTTGCTTACGTTTTTTTCTAAATCTGTGTTTGCAAAATGAATATCCTGCTAGCATCATTCAACTATAACTAAGTGACATTCTGTTGCTTAAGGGTAGGAGGGTGATGGAGGTGAGATGAGACGATAAGGTCCTCTCCTGCCCTTAGCTCAGGCTGCTTTTCTCATGTGCTGCAGGACTCCTTCGAGAGACAACACTTGAAACTTGCTCTGTTTCATAATTCGTTTGCATAAGGGGCTCGGGATTATAGGATGAGTTAACCAGTTTTATTTTTTTCTCAGAAGTATTATAGTAATATTGATTGCCCAAAATCAATACTGTGAGCTTCTGCCTTCCAACCCTAAAGTGTACGCAGCACTAATGTAAGGAAGTGCGCAGGAGTCTGAGGCTAGACACAGCAGGAGAAATCTAAGCACTTTCTTCCCCCATGAGTGGACATAAAATCATACTGATAACTTGAACTTAGTGGAAAGCTTTATTTTTGTGCTGTAACTTCAATACACCTTGAATTTTACATAGTGTGTCGATTCTTTGTCATTCTTGTGACTCTAATGACCTTTTTTTTTTTTTAACTTTGAAAAATCATGTCTTACATTCTGTCCCCAGGTGGTTTTGTTGAGTCATCATTCACCTTTCTCGATTTAGCAGGCCTGGACCACCACGTCACAGCTTCGGGTGGTGCTAGACAATCTGGTACAAACATCCTCGTGATTGCTGACTGCCTGCCCTGTAGCTTGCACCTCAGACCTTGGCCATTTTGCCTGCTTTCTGTCCTGCATAGCCCTAATTCTGGGGTTGGCACAGTGTTTCTTAGGTGTGGTAATACAACTCAGGTGACTTAAAGGTGTTGAAATAATTACACGTGGCATGTTTGCTTCCACTTTAAATGATCATTTTGAATAAGACCTTTTAAAAAGGTCTTTTAGATAAAAAATTACCTGGAACCAAAGTACATCCAGTTTAGCTCCTCCCACCCCCATCAATACTGCTGGAGCCACTTTTAGTTTTATCTAAATAACAAATCTTTGTCTGTTTGCTTATTTGCTATCTCCTTTCATTCCTAACATTCTGTTTGTCTTCTGTACCCTTTTTATTTAAAAAAAAAAAAAAAGTATTCTGTGTAGAGCGACAACTTGCTTTCCTCTGATGGTGAGCCAAATTTAAAAGCAGTTTTACCCCTTTGGCCCTCCTCCCTCCATGGTATTTGGTGGAGCACATATCAAATATATGATCCTAGAGATCGTTTATATGTGACCTTTCATTTTAAAGGACAGTTTTGCATGTACATTCCATACAAAAAATTGTCATGCTACCTATTTTTATAGCCTCATTTTTTTCTCTTTGGCTTCATGCTTTATATGCGTACGGTTATAGGTTGTCAAACATCTGTGAGAAAAAATAAAGCTGTTAACCTTCACTCTTGCTTCCCTGCTCAGAGGTTACTTTCTGGCCTTTACTTCTGCCACTCAGAGAAAGAGAAGCCAGTGATGCGTTTATGAACTGATGGATAAACTCCTCTTATAAGGACTGTGAATTAGAGCAAGTTGTTGCTCTGCCAGAACAGAGAATTTGTCTGAAAATGATTGGAATTTACCAAAGTTTCTAAAGACCAGGGAGTGACCTGCTGTGGTGTGGATAGCAACAACCATCCTTACTCATCTTGAAGACCCTTCCCCTCACTGCAATGCCTGAGGCGTGGTGAGCGCTCAGCCACTGATTACTGGCCAGCAAACAGGTCCTCAAGACTGGCTGCATCCACATTAGTGTCTCCTGCAGCTGCTGACACCACCTGGCACTGCTCTAAACTTACACGTTTAGAACTGATTATTAATCCTTTCGTGAATTTGTGTTTGGTGGGAAAAAGAATGAATAAAAATAATTTCACATTAAGTAGGATAACACATTCATACCACTTATGGCAGGTTTAGATGCTTTTCCATTCTAGTATTTGGGGGGAATGGGAAGATCTGGCCTAGCTTATTTTTTTCCACTTACTGTGAAACAGAACTAAATGTTTTTAATAACCTACTGAGAGTATGCCTGACATGGCTTGACGTAGCCACAGTTTTTCCCCAGCTAAAGCTTAACATATAAAGCAGCATCACGAAATGTGTTGCTGGATAAACACCTGGAAGTGACTGGTTATCCTTCCTGTGCCCTGCACCTCACATTTCTTCATGCACACACTCCTTTCAGTGCAGCCCTAAATCTTTCTGTTGGGACTACCCCAAGAGAGATCCCACCAGTCAAGTGTCAATGTAAGTCACAGATACATACGGTGTTTAGTGTTTTGTTTTTTTAGTGTTTCAACCATTAAAAAAACTCAGTTTAAGATAGAAATGTCTTATGTTAACAGAAGACTTGCAGTATGAATAATAGTCAAGAATGGTTATTCTGTGAGTGAAATCTTTTCAAAATGTTCACTGCAATGGGAACTGTGTTTTGAAAGCATCAATCACAAGAAATGTTTTTGTCTTAGTCTCATAAGCAGCTAACAATAGAAAATAAAATTCTGTGAGCTGGCGTGATACTGCATACCTGTGATCTCGGGGAGGTAGAGATAGGAGGATTGTAGTCTTACAAAAAGCATGAGGCCTCATCTTAAAACAAAACGGGCTGGCGTGTGGCTCAAATGCTGGAACACTCAAACTTAAGACCCTGAGTTCAAACCTCAGTACCAACAAGAAAAAAAGAAAACGTCTAGCAATTATAGATCAGAATACCCACCTGCCTGCTAGACAAATATATAATGAGGTTTTTTTTTAATCATATGTAGTTTTATTCAGGAAACATGATTTTTGATAATGATCATGATTAGAACTTGGTTCTACTGTACGGACAACAGATTGAGCTGATTTTTGGAGGCAGGGTCTTGCTATAAAGCTTAGGCTGGCCTCAGACTGCCTGTCTCAGCTTCTAGAGTGCCAGGAGAACAGGCTGGTACCACCACACTCAGCTTTGTTTTGTTTTTGAATTTTACATGGCTATTTCCCTTCTGATTTGAACTTTTAAAATTATTTTTTAATAATTTGACTGCAGGATGAACAATAATATTCATGAACTCATAAAACAGAAGGAATTCTGGTTATGTTGCTGTCAGTTCTGTTAGGCCAGTTTGTATGTCGGCCCTACCTTCTACACCCAGAGCATTTCCCTTGCTTGTTTTTTTTTTTTTTTTTTTTTTTTGGTTTCTTGTTTTTTTTGTGATACTGTAGATTGAACCCAGTGCCTGTGCCTGCTAGGCAAGCTCTATACCACTGAGCTGCATACTCAACCCTTGTATTTGTACTCTGTTCTAGATTGAAACAGGCCTTACTAACATGCGCAGACTGGCCTCAAACTTGCAGTACTTCTGCCTCTGCCTCCCAAGAGGCTGGGATTGCAGGCTTGAACCATCATGCCCAGGTCTTTCTTGTTTTTAAAGTCATTCTTCTAGACTGAACTTTAATGCCCTGTGTGAAATGACTCTAAAGCAAAAGTATCAGCAGGTACACAGGACCTGGTGTGCTTTTCATGCCAGGGTTAGTGTGTATTTCACCAGCACCACACCTTCCCATTCACACTTTAGGAAGTTGGAAGGCATTCCCTGTTACAGTTCTGTCTGTGCTCCAGTCTGCTCCCCTCATTCCATAGCCTTCCTTTTGACTTCATCCACTTACATCACACAACAAACTAGTAAACTGAATGTTCATTTTGCCCTGTAAGAAAAACGAGTCTTATTTCTGGCCTTTAAGTTACCTTTAATCTGTCCACTTGGAAAACTGCGGGTAGGAAGGTCGTAGAAGTAGAGCTGAGAGCATCCGGCCTAGTGCTCCTTCCTTCCACTGCGGGCCTGGAACGCACAGTCCTGCATGCTGCCTGTCAATTAGCGCTCTTTCCATCTGTTTTAGATCCAGACAGGCGGTCAGTTTCCACCATGAACCTCTCCAAACATGTCGATCCTGTCATTAGCAAGCGGCTCTCGTCCTCCTCTGCAACTTTGCTAAACTCTCCAGATAGAGGTACAGTCAACGGAAAACAAAAATGTGTTTCTGTCATTTACTTAATGCTTTTTGTTCTGGATGTTTACAGATGAAAATAAGCGTCTGAAGTTGCTTTCCCTGCATTTCTTAAATAGGAAGAAAAAACTTCAGAGTAATAAAGCAATAACTGGCCGAGCAGCACTGTCCTTGCAACGAACAGTCCCCACTTAGGACGTGGCTGAGTGCTTGCATTTAGCAGTGATGAAGGTGGTGCTTCTCTCAACTTTTTGTAAATGAGTACAGCTCCAGAAATCACCCGCTAATCCACCCAAGTGCAAATAAGCTTGGTTATGAACACGGCTTTTACCTCAATCACTCTGTCTATGGCTTGCACCTGTACCTTGAGAATTCCAGGCTCTGACTTTCTGAAGAGAATGTTAAACGATCCATGGCAGTACATGTCATTTTGCCAATCCATTTACCCAAACATTTCTCACTGCATTCCTCATGTGTGTGATTGGGTGTTTTGGTGTCCATGTATTTACTTATGAAGGATTTGACCTAACTTCAAGACTATCATCATCATTACAGCTTTCCTGAAAAGTTGAATAATCATAGTCCTCCAATTAATATCTGAATTTTGAGTTTTATGCATCCTATGGATTTACAGTACATGGATGCTGAGTTATTTATAAAGTAAAAGTTTTATATTACATTTATTATAGAAGGAACAATCCAGCTTATAAAATAAGCTACTTGTTCTACAGAACTAAGATGATTTAAAATAAAGCCAAAGAATTATCGTGTAATATAAAAGCACATACAAAAGTAGAAAATCATGGTTATTTTGAGTACTTTAGTGAGAAACTGGAAAGTTTCCCTGTCTGTCATTTGACAAGGCATGTAACGTGTGTGTTCTATATGTATGTATATCCTTATAAATTTTGTATTGTATCAAAGCTGCTATGGTGGTGTAATGTTGCATATTATATGAGTGTTAATATTATCTTGGAAACAGATCTCATAAAGCAGTAAATGTTTGTACAACTTCCTAGTCTTGCCTTTTAACCAAAACTATTCCATTTTAATTTAATTTGCATTAATCACTTATATTAGACATGTAGTCATTAGAGGCCTTTCATGTTAAAATATTATTAAATTTTCTTTGATAAATTATCCTTCATTTTCAAACCTATTTCCTTAATATAGCATGAAATGCTGCTCTTACAGTTGTCTGTTCACCTTTTCTTTCGAATTAGTCATGGCACTTTCATACTTTAGTGAACCTGGGTCTGAGACAAGCCACAATTAGGATTTTATAACACTTTTAAGTTAAACCTTGCTTACTGCCTCCTACAGTCATTCCCATAGCTGAAATTAGGATGAGGATGAGAGCAGGCAGACAAACAATAAAGTGGACAATGTCCTTCCCTGTCTCTGTGGAATGACAATGTTGGTGGTCTGTGTCCGCTAGAAATAAGATGATGTGTTGTGGACTCTGTGACAATATTCTAATTGGATACTCTTCAGGTAATACGGTCTTCCAACTGAGAAACAGCTGTTGGATTGGATCATCTATTATTCCAGTTGAGGTAACGGAGTCCCTCATAGGTTGATAGTCTGACTTTTAATGTCCCATAGGCTAATTACTGCAGGAGAGGGACTGGAACTGTGATCACCAGCTTCCCAGCGTGTGGTTGCTGTGCTGCACCTGCAGTCCTTACATGCAGGGTAGCCTTCTCAGGTTGACTCAGTGCATTCATCCTTTGGGTAGGTTAGAAGAGGAGGTAGAACACCAGGGCAGCAGAAGTTCAGCAATCGGTCCATCACTGTAACCAGGAAACTATCCCTTGATTCGTGATTCAAGTGCACATCTAGAAAGTTGAATCTTAGGCTAGACTAGTAGAGGAAGTGCACTGAATTCAAGAATTCTACTTCTCTACCCCTTTATCAAAAGACCTGTGAGTGAGTTCCTGCCTAACAAACCAGGATGGCCTGGTGGGGATTCCCATACAGAGAAGAATTTTTTTTTAAGTTAGGCAAAACCCTCTTTAGGATAGGTAGGCTTAGGCCTTTCGATAAGAGTAGCAACTCTTCTGAATTTGAATTTCTCTGATTTTGAAATATAGTTATTTACTGCTAGCTATTTTTAGAAGTTTAAGTTAGTAGCCTTTATGGACAAATATGTCGAGGGGATGTGTGCCATTCTTAGATTGTTTGAGCTGCCTCAGTCCTCTGGCAGTGGCCTTAAAGCTGATATTAAATTGAGGCTGGTAAAAGTATCATCTGGTAAAAGTCACTTCCCCCAGAAGTGCTTGCCTGGACCCTCCAAAGCTAATGGAGACCGGCCGTAGATCTGTGCGTGTGCAGTACTGGTTTTTAGGTATTTTGGTTACTACACTTGAATATAGTGTTATATGAACTGATAAACTCACCTGCTTTAAAGGAAATTTCTGATTACAGAATGTGTTTATAATTGGGGCAACACAGAAAATGTTGCTATTTGAATTTTTTGTATTACAAGTGTATCTTCTGAGACAGGGACTAGTTATATTACCCAAGCTGGCCTCAAACTGGACATCCTCCTGCCAAGTACTGGGATTGCAGACATATGCCACCATGCCCAGCTAGCTCATTATCTTTAAACTATCTACTTAACTAGCTTTTTCTGAAGACAGAATACTAGGGAGTTTTTTTAAAGTAAGGGTGAAGTTGCCTTCTTTTTGCTTAAAATTAGTCAATATGTTTCCCTATAGTCTACATCAGAGGACACAGTGGTGGACCTTAAGCTGAATTCTGCCCAGAGCCTGCTCTGTGTAACCTGAGCAGTGCTTTTATTCTTGATTTAATTGGAATTAATTTCCAACATTTAAAATATGGAAGATTTCATATAGTACTTAGGTTTCCTTTCTCTAATGAAAAAATTTAGGATCTGTCAACATTTGCCTAATTTCTGCCCAGACCCCTTACCTGAAACTGAACAGTGGTTTGGGGCTTATGTGAGGAGTGTGCCAGTGCAGATATGCAGGATGTTCGTTTAGCTCAGGTCACTTTCTTATATTCACTTGTGTGGCCCAAGGCCTTCGACTTGGCCTCCCCTGATGTGGGTGTCTGACATGGGAACTGACAGCATCTCATTTTTAAGTGCTAAAATAGAGTTAGTGCCATAGACTTCCACTGTAGTTACTATCTCCTCCTTCTGCTTTTTAATCTTAAAAATCAGGACCTGCGAGTGGAAAAAGACATGAACTAACTCCTTCACTAACCTCTACTAAAAAGCTGCTGTATGAAAGGTAGAGTGTTAGTTATGTGTGTGGTAGAAGGGAAACATTTCTCTTAGCAAAATCTTTCATTCACAGTATTGGGATTTGCTTTACACACAAGCTCGAGTGGGTTTATAATGATCTCTATTTGAAGCAAATTCTGTAAGCGATGCCCTAAGGACTCATAGAAATAAAGTAATTGGACTTCTTTAATGGAGAAAAAGACTTATCTTTTCAGGGCTGTCTTCTCTCTGCAGTTCTAAGCCACTGGCACTCTACAGTTTATCTCTGAAAGCAGGCCCTCTTCTTCCTTGCCTTTCTTGTCTGTTCAGCATGCAGTGCTGTTGAGATTTTCAGTTACTCCTCAGCACATGTTTCTCATTGATTTATTCTGTGACTATATTCTAGTTGAGGCACTGCCCTACTGTCGTTTAATCATGCCCACCCATGGCACTTTCTACTAACTTTAGCTATGGGCTGTGATAGTTTTTATAACAGATCTTTTTTATTCATTTCTCAGTATTTAATTTAGCCATGGAGAGTCTCCTGCATAATACACAGAAAAATCTAATGAATAATTCACTAACTCTTTTAATAAACAAAAAATCTAATGATTAATCCACTAGTTCTAAAATTCACCAGAGCTTTGATAAAATAGCCACTCTTTTCAAATAAAGTCAGATGATTAAGGAACCCAAATAGGAACATATTTTTTCTTGTAGCAATATATGGCTTTTATGGACTAAAACTAACTTCCCAGAATTTAAGTGCCATTCCTTTAAAAGATGATGTATATGAGATTGGTATAAGAACACCTCCTCCAGAGGCTCAGGGACTTGCACCCAAAGAATGTAGAACAAACAGAAGTGGCCTTGTGAGGTCTTGACAGTTTTAAAGACTTTCCTAAGTGATTTATGGGTATGTTCCAAAACAGAGCTATGTGATCGCTTTACTGTAGTGACATTTGTAAGGGGTTGCAAGCTTCTTCTCTATTTTTGGACAATCCCTTCTATGTTAGCATATGACACCTAGAAGCTAACAGTATGAACAAAGCAATTGATTCATTATCAGCACACAATTCCTAACCATGGCCTCGCCAAGCCCCGGTGCATTTGAACCATCTATCATTGCATTATTTTTGAGTTTGTTTTCTAGACTCTTCAGGTACCCACTAGTCATCTTCAGGATTATGTTTTATATTAGATTTGGGGTTTCTGTTTAATTTTATCTTGCTTCTACTTTAGCCTTGATCCTCAGCCAAAATTTTTTACATTGTTGCCAAACAGGGACCTGAAAGAGCTTGGCTTGCTGAATGGAGAGAACAAAAGAAACCCCATACAGACCTGTGCATGGGTCCCTTTCACTGTCTTCCAGCCAACCCCCCTCAGTTGCCCAAATAACAACCGGTGGAGATCTAGCATGGTTTATTGGGGGCCCTTTCTATCTTTATGTAAGTCTGGTCTTCCATTAACCTGCCCACACTTCTGTTGGGGTTTTTTTCTTCCAGATACTTAAAGCCTATTAGCTGAAATGTGTGCCCTCAGCCCACTAGCCAGCCCAAAGCCCACCAGATAGGTTCCACCCTCAAGTTTTTGACACATGCCAGATCTCTAGTTGAAATGACACTTCTATTTCAAGACCTGTTTACTACAAAAGGAGCAAAATTAGCAAAATCCATGACTCAAAACTCCTTTAAAGCTTGCCACAAATGTAACACCTTGAGGACAGGCAATGTTTGCGGAGTAGCTGCTCCCTGGGGCCCTGACTCAGCCAGCTGTCCCCCCTGGAGAACTGCTCACTCCCAAAGGCCGTGTGTGCGGAGGCAGTAGGTCTGATCTGATGTTCTGTACTTTTGGCCCTGGAAAGAATGCTTCTAACATCTTGCTTATGTGGTGACATTTAGCTCGACGCCTGCAGCTCAGCCCGTGGGAGAGCAGCGTTGTTAACAGACTGCTGACGCCCACACATTCATTCCTGGCCAGAAGTAAAAGCACAGCTGCCTTGTCTGGAGACACAGGTAAAGCCATCCAGGCGGAACTTTCCTGGTGAGGTAAAGTCCTCCTTGTGAAGCCCATCCGCACTGCCTGTGTCCACCTAATCCTACTTCTGATTTTCCTGGTGTGTGCTTCCCTCTGCTCGGGTGGAAATGTCTCTTGGTGTTAGTTTTGTGCACCTGGCATTGTTTCTTCTTCACATCCGCTCAGCACTTATCTGGACACCAGACACCAGGCAGACCGACAAAGTCCCTCCTGTGCTCAGATGGCTTCAACTGCCACTAACTCTTCATGAAGTTACCAGGGGAAAAAAAAAGTATCCCTTAACCACCTTTCTGTCTGCCCCTGTATCTCAGCAGATGATCAAAGGTAGATATGATTTAATATTGAATACTAATATGTGAACTTGGTGATAAAATGAACATAAGCTTGTTACATAAGCATAGACTTTCTTAATGTGGCTAGAAGCTTATCCTGCTGCACCAGTCTTTTATACATAACCTAGGACTTGTGGAGAAGGCTAAGTAAAGTAAAGGCTAATTGCTTACCTGTTCTATTCATTATGAGGATAGTGGCACATGTCTGTAATCCCAGTTCCTCAGGAGGCAGAGGTAGGAGGATCTCCATCTGAGACTGGCCCAGACGTAAGGAAGAGACCCTATCTGAAAAACAGATACAGTCTCTTGCCTAGCAAGCATGAGACCCTGAGTTCAATCCCGAGTAAGGCCAAAGAAATTTTAAAAAGGAAGAAAAAAGAAAATATATACAGCATACATACTCCTGGCTATTAAATTATTATTAAAAATGTTTTAAAATGCAAAACCTGCCTAAATGAGTCAATTTAATGAGAAGTTAGTGTGGAGCTCAGAGGTGATTAAGAAAGGTCCATATAGGTTTTTGGTACCATTTCTCTCCTGGTGAGGTGTTTTGATTTTCCCAACCCTCTTTGGACACAGCTGGTGCGTCTGTGTAACCAGTCTAGCAGCCTTCATCTCTGGTACTTAGGGAGTTGCATACTACCCTTGAAAAGATTCCTTTAAAACTGCTTTGCCTCTGCAAGCCTCTTCATGTCCACTAGCCTGGGTTTTATGGTGTCTTTCATTTGTGGTGCCCAGTGAGCAGAGTAGTCTCACAGTGCCTCTGTGAGTCAGTGAAGACAGCAAGCACAGGCACCCCCACCTTCTGGAAGCTAAGTGTAGTGACAATACCTGTCTTCTACCACTTAGAAACTGGTGAACTGGAGCCTACACATGTTCCCTTCTCCCTCTTGGCCCTCACACTGCCTCTGAGATTTTTCAAAAAGAAAAAGTACACTATTTCCAAGATGGTTTATTTCTTATGCCTGTGAATTTCATACTTTTCTGCAAGGCATGAAAGATTTTCATCACATTGAAGAACCTTTCCACCTGTTTCATAGGCTCACCATAGGGTATGGCCATCATGCATCTGAATCCCTCCATCAGACGTTGTGTTATGCTGAAGACAGCCTCGGAGCTAGAGAATTGTGTGTCTTTGTGGTTTCTGCCATCACTAACTTTTGTCAATTCTTTCACTCTTTCTCTAGTCTTTTTCCAACACCATTTCCTCATTTCCACCCATTTTCTGTGCCTGTCTTCCCCGTCTTCTTGGCTGTTTTGCTTGGTCGTGGTGCTTTTTACCTGCAAATTGGCTCTTCTTTACTTTGCAATGTTTCCATTCTCCTTTTCACCCAATAATATATTTCTGTAACTTATTTTAGTGCCAAACAGGGCATATCCTTTATATGAGTTGCCTGTTTTATTAATATATTCCCTAAATCATTGTTACCATTGCACTGATACAGCTTCTGTTGAATGCAACAAAGCTCTCGATTTTTACAAAAAAAATTCCATTTGAAATTTATATATATATATATAAATGTCTCCCACTTGTCTTTTCAAAGATACTTTGTCACTTTGGTTTTTCCATGTACTCGCTGATTATTCTTTTCTGTCTTGTCTCTTGACTCCATCTTACTCACAGCTGCCATTGACAGAAGGGTGTCCTGCGTACATAGGTAACTTTACAGCTGCAGATGAAAGCAGCCATCCTTAGCCCGGGGACTGCAGACCCCGAGCAAGCCATAGAGTCCTTGAGAACTGGAAACCCAAACCCTCTTATTTGTAGCCATTGCTTTGAGTCTACTTTTCCATGCCCATTTTTTCCAGAACATGTAAAATGCTTAGACTACCATTTGCACATGATAGGCTCTCAATAAGTGTTAGTCTTCTGTTAGGCAGGTTTTTCCTTCTCTGCTATACTCTAGCCACTTGAACTGCATTATCTTTGCTCTGTACCCACTATTTCGTATCTTAAAGGAGTTAATACATACTAATTACAAAGAGTAGTGGAATACTTTCTCAGATTTCCATGAGGTGTTTAGGTTTAATTAAACTACTTGGTAAATGAGGAGTATTCTGGATGAAAAATCACTGTATAGTGCTCTTGCAGTTTCTTTAGAAGGAAAAGATTATTTGAACAACTGATTTGAAGGTTTCTATTTTCTCAATAATTGCCATTCAGGATAGCAATGAACTCTATAGTATTTAATATACTTGGAATTTGTAATGTTTGTTTTAGCCAGAAGGTTTTCTTTGGAAAAATTAAATTTGAGAATGTTTTTATATAGCCTACAGTTAAGGATATTTTGAACCTGTGTTTAATGTTTCCTCAACACTATAATAAAGAATAAACCAGAAGGCATGAGGAGACTAGATTTATCCAGGGTGGTTTTAGGAAATGCTCCATAGATACCTCATGAAATTGTTATTTTCTGCCAGGCATGGTGGTGCATACCTGTAATCCCAGCACTTGAGAAGCTGAGGCAGGGGGATTGTGAGCATAAGGCCAGCCTAGGCTACGTAGTGAGTTCCAGTCCAGCCTGGCCTACATAGCAAGACCCTGTCTCAAAAAGAAAAGAAAAGAGAGAAAGAAAGAAAGAAAGAAAGAATTCATTATTTTCCAGTAGATGGAAAAGATCATTTCATCATATTTCAAAAAATACTCCTTCACATTCCTGTGCTTCATTTCTTTTTCTTCGTCAGACCCATGATCTCGGGGCAGGCTGTTTCCTCAGATTCCTTGATTCTTGAGTGAAGCGAAGGACCTGGCTGAGCCCTGGGCACTGTGTGCCTCTCCTCCTGGTCATTTATCCCTGATGTGCCTTATGCTGGGATGCCATTTCTAGAACGCTCTTGGCTGACTTGGAAGAATTTGCATTGATAACTTCTTTCCTCATCTGGGAAATGCACATGCCTTGTGGCACTGAAGGGGAGAGTATTTTCAAATAGTTTTCCCTGTGATCACAACAAGCAGAATGACAAGAGGTTCTCCTTCCTCACAATGCACTCATCCTTCATTACTAAGGAGACAATAAAACTTTATGTCACACGTGTGAAACACACAAGTTCTTTTAAGGAGAACTGAGGAAACTGCAGTGTTTTAGTTTATCCTAAGAAATGATTTCTGACCCCAGATGATGGGGAAAGACTACAGTTTCCAGACTATTTACTGCTCAACCATTCAGTGATAACCAGGGGAGGCATTTATCGAAAGAGATATTAATAAAAATGAAATCTAGGGGTGTAGCTCAGTGGTAGAGCACTTGCCTAGCATGCAGGAGACCCTGAGTTCCATCCCCAGCACAGCAGAAGAAAAAAGATACAATCTGATCACTTTTCTGTGTACACGTTAAACCAAAATAACAAATTTATTAATACTACTACCTTTATTTGGCATAACAGGATTGCCACAACAGCTCATTGATAAAGTCATTTTATAACCTGGTCCCAATGCATAGTACTGTCCTCAGGAGTCATGTTTGTCTTTTTATTTTTTATTATTATTATTTCTGGAAACAAGATTTCTAAATGAAGTCTAAAAGTTATTGCTCAGAATAACTTGATCAATGACAGTGTGCTTTGAAGCTGGTCAGAAATTGTGGCTTTTCAAACAATATTCTATCTCAAGTAAAACTGTAAAAGCTATTCATGATTCAACCTTACTTTGTGGCACTTCTAGCATAGTCACGTTCTTTACACCATTTTATATAATTCTTCCTCCTCCTCGTGTTCTACTGCTGCTTCTTACCGTCAAATGCCTTGGCTCTTGGAAAACCCAGAGCATCCATCAGTTTACCATTACATAGATAAAACATTTATCAGATTCTTCTAAGGAAGTTATTTCTTATCCCTGTCTTCACACCCGATAAGATCGGTCATTTAATGTTTTAAAATTTTAGTTGCTTGATTTTTCCCCACTGGTTGTTCACTTTTGCTCTTGGAAGAGTTGTGGTACACCTCGCTTGCCTGCTTGCACACTTCCTCTCCACCTTTTTGGTCCATCTTAAAGCTAATTAGAAAAAATACGACTGTAAGCCAGTTATATAAAAATTGTCACTGTTGTAGCATTTTATAAGAACCATAGGTTTATAGGAAAATAAGGCCATGTGCTCCAAGATTGCTTGATTACATCTTTGTCTCTAACCAGGATTTAAAAAGACAAATAGCAATAGATTCCCTTTTTAACTTGTATGTGCCTGCCTTTGGGCACGTCTTAACTCACAGGAAGGAGAGTTGTGCTGGTTTGGGGCACCTTTAGGTAATAACGTCTTCTACCTACTCTTCTATCTCTGCTTCATTCCTTCTCCTGAACCTGCTTTTGGCTTTCTTCACCTGCTCCTGGCACTCATGTGTGTAAAACCAATCACCTACACCCTAGTTATCCCCATTTGTCCTCGTTCAGCATCTTGCAGCCCCACCATCATGCCCTACAAAGCCGCACACTCTAGAAACGCAGCGGAGCGACCAAAACTCTTTGTCACACCACCCGAGGGCTCTGCGCGCAGGAGGACCGTGCACGGCACAGCGGTGAGTAGTGGGCGCAGCTGGCGAATCTGGGAGCAGTGCTGTCTCTGCAGAGCAGACCCTGTCCCAAGGTGTGCTGTGGGTGTGAGACCGGACAGTCACCATACCCCCCCATCTCATATCGGGCCAGCTGGGTGGTCCTGCCCACCCACTTCCTTTCCACTTGGGGATTTTTGCTCTCCCATAAATAGTTCTGATAATGCAATTAAGCAATACACTTCACAGAGTTATGTCACTTCCAGAATAACAGAAATATTTGATGTTGCTGAAAGAAAAGGGAGACAGTAAAAGGCATTGAAAAGTAAACATGTCACCATTTGCTCATTTACCTTAGCAATGATAATTTCAACCAAGAGCCAGGAAAGAAACTACTTGGTAAAAATCTGATGAGAAGTGAGATTTTTATATTGTGTCAAAGTAGTTCCTTAAAAGGCATTTATTAGTTACAAAGGGAAAACAAAGATTTGTACTGGGGAAACATGGAAGAAATCACCACTAGTAGGTGATCAAAGTAGATGTCATTACTAATGACAAGAAATGACATGTGCCTCTTACTACCATGCACTGAGAAGGGCCTTACATGTTAAGTCTGTGCTAATCCTTCACAACCGAAGTCAAGGGCCCATGTATTTCTTGAAATTCAAGGTAATGAAAAGGAAAGAAAGTTTGAAGAAATTTGAATTTACAGATGAAAGCTGTTCTTTGCTCAAGCATGGGAGGGTGGCTGACCTGTCCTGCTGAGGCCTGTATGCAAAGAAGTATGGTGTCAGAATACTTTGAGTTTTGCAAGTGAGAAAACCACACAGCCTGCAGGTGGGCCTGGACTGCTGCCCTGTATCTGGAGGCTGGCCAAGCTTCTAAAACTCAAGACGAGGAATTTCTATCCTGCTTATTAGCTAATCCCTACCAAAGCCCAGATTTTAAAACATGGTGGGGAAAAAAAAGTTTTAAAAAACACTAATTGTTTGCTAAATAACCACCTCTTGAAAGGCTATCAAGCTGCACTGTAAACTCAAGTTTTGCAAGTGAGGAATATAATTTGTACTTGTTATTACTGGCTAGGTAGCTGAGCTCCTGTTAATTTTCATCACCTATAGTCAGTGAGGTAATTTGTATGTCTCCGGGAATCTTTCTTTGACACCCTGTTTAAACTATGTTTATTTGGTATGGTTGAAAGATGCAGACATTATTCTGTGATTTTGGACACTGTACTTTATTTTTTCATTCTTGTGCTGAGTAGGGGTACACTGTAGCATTTACAAACAAACATATCATTCTTGAATTCACCCTCTACACTGCTCTTCCCCATCTCCCTCCCCTGATTCCTGGAACAGTTTCAACAGGGATCATTTTTGCGTTTACATACACGTGTGCACATTATTTGCACCATATTCATCCTCCCACCCCTTTCCCCCATACCTCCCCCCTCCCACCAGTGCCAACCATGCACTCCCTCCCCCAGAGCCTGTTCTGCCCTCCTATTCTTCAATTTTATAGAAGAAAAAACATAAAAGATAAAGAGAGAAACATGGTGCTTTTGCTAGTTTGAGATAAAGATAGCTACACAGGGAGATTCCTTGTGTTGTTTCCATGCATACATTACAACCCCAATTGTTGTGTTACAATCCCAACTGGTTCATCTCTTCCAGCCCTCTTCACTCCTCTCTAGTCCCCTTCCCATGGTGGTCCCAGCCAGTTAAGATTTCTATAGTCATTCCTGTACAGTGAGCACATCAAGTTTTAGGTTTCCTTCCCTTGCCCTATCCCTTCTTACACAGCCTCCCCTTAGTGTGACCCGTTGGACCCCGAACTTTAAAGGACTCACCAGGCCCCAGGTCTCATTGCTTCTCTCCCATGATATAGTGTGACCCTTATATGACCTTTTCTTTAATCTTCCCAGAACAATTCAGATGTAGAAAGATGTGGACGCTCCTAAGGCTTCCCTTGGAGGAGAGCTTGGTGGCTTTGCCTACAGGCATTTTCTTTCAAACCCCTCAGGCATCAGTGTATAATTCATGACTGCAACAGGACTGCACCCTGGAAGCCAAAGGTTCATCCACCTTTGATGTCTGTGAAGTTTTAATTCATTAGCCTCCTGGTGTGGCAAGATCCTGGCTGGGGACCAAAGTGACAGTGAAACAGAATGGTTTGGGGTGCTTATAGGGCAGAAAGATATCTTGTAGTAAAAGCAAAAACTGACACTGCTTCGAGGAGTAGAAGGCTGAGCCTAACAGAAATCAGGGGGCTGGTTGTCACAGCAGCACAGCTTTGTCAGTGTTTTCTCTTTAATGCCTTCCTCTTTCTCTGGGTGGCCAATTACTTCTCATCTCCTTACAACCAAATATCGTAGCAAATACCCTCTGCCAGAAAGTGACGACTGGAGTTGCACTGTAGAATCCAGTAATGTGGCCTGGCCACATTGAGCACTTGAAGAGTAACTAATGAAGCTGACAAACTGAATTTTTAATTAAAAAATTTTTTTTGATTGTGAAGCTGGGCATGTCAGTGTACACCTATAACCCCAGCACTTGGGAAGCTGAGGCAGGAGGATTGCCGGTTCAAGGCCACCCTAGGCTACATAGGAAGACCCTGTCTCAAAACAAAAAAAATTTGATTGTGGTTAAAAAAAAAAAAAACACTTACACAGTTGTTTCAGTTCAGTGTCAGATATATTCACACTATAGTGTGCAACCAATCTCTAGAACTTTTTAAATCTTGCACACCTGAACCACCATGCACGTTAAACAACTCTCCCCCTCCTCCTTCCCTGACCCCTGGCAACCACCATTCTACTTTTTGTTTCTGTAAATTTGACTGCTTTAGCTACCTCATAAGTAGAATCAGAAAATATTTGATTTGTTGTGACTTATCTTATGATAATGTCCTCAAGGTTCATCCTTGGAGCATGTGTCAGAATTTCCTTTTTAAGGCTGAATAATAATCCATTGTATATGTTTGCCACATTTTGTTTATCATCCACGGGCCGACTTTTGGGTTGCGTCCACCCCTTGGCTATTGTGAATAGTACTGCCATGAACATTGTATGTGAGTATGTCCTGGAGCGCCTGCTCTCATTTCCTTTGCATAATTTCAAAAATGCAGTAGGTTCTGTTTAATTTTGTTTGTGTAGAGGTATGCAGTGCTAGGGATTGAACACAGGACTATGTGCATGCTAAGCAAGTGCTATACCTCTTAAGCTATGCCCCCCAAGCCTTCTATTTTAGTTTTTTTGAGGAAAAGAACTGTGTTCCAAGTGGCTGTACCATTTTACATTCTTCCCAGTCGCAGTTTCTCCACATCCTTACCAACACTGTTGTTCTCTGTTTTTTATGGTAGCCATCCAGGTGAGTGTGAGGCAACCTCATGGTGGTTTTGATTTGCTTCTCTAGGACCATCGATGTGGTGTATCTTCCTTCCACCAGCATATTGGCAGTTGGTGTAGCACATTTGGAGAAATGCTGATTCAAGCTCTCCCCCTCTTTTTCCTTGTGGTGCTGGTGATCCAACCCATGGCCTCACACACCAACATGCCAGGGAAGTGCGCCACCCCTGACCTGCGTCACCAGCCCCTGCCCATCTTTTCATCAGGTTACTAGCTGTTGAGTTACAGGAATTACTTACACATTCTATATGTTAACCCCTTCTCAGATAGAAGTGTTTTTTAAGTTTGTTGTTGTTCCATTTGTCCATTTCTGCATTGTTGCTTATGCTTTTGATGTTAGACCCAACAGATCAGTACCAAATGCTGTGGCATGAAGCCTCCCACCTGTTTTCTTACAGTTTGACGTTTTTAAGTCTTGCACTTAGGTCTTTAATTCATTTTGAGTTCATGTTTTGCCTAGCATATAGGAAGGTCCAGTTCTGTCCTTTTTCATGAACGTATCCAGTGTTCTCAGTGCCATTTGTTAAAGAGTGTTCTTTCCGCACTGACTGGTCCTGGGATTTCACCATCTGTGCAAGGGTTTATTCTGGGTTCTCTAGTCTTTTTCATTGGTGTGCCTGTCTTTACACTAGTACCATACCTTTATGACTACCGTAGCTTTGTAGCATGTTCTAAAATCAGGAAGTATGAGACCGCTTTGTTTTCAAGATTGTAAAGTCTCTGTCCTGTAGGTAGGTTGTCCAGCTGACCGATGTGGCAGCTTGCTGTGTTTGTCCCCTCAGCACCGTAGAACGTTTGTACAGGTGGCTGGCATTACCTCAGATCAGGATGAGCATCAAGGGCCTCTGCATGTGTGGTACTCAAAAGGGGGGCTGGATATTGAAGCCATGGCAGGACTAAGAGGGAAGAACAAATCTGCCGGCTGGGGCAGGGGGGTATTACCTAAGAGTGGATTTCCATTCCCTGGGCGATTGACTGAAGGAGAAAGAAGTAATTGGCTCAGTAGCACTTTGATAAAAAGATGACTGTGTGAGGATCACACACATTTATGTCAGTTAATTTCCTGACCCCTATCCCATCAAAGCACAGGGGAAGGGAGTTATCCCCAGACTGCACATCCTACCTTGCCCTTCCTGGCTGACTTTTCCATTCAGATCTTTCCTTGATCTGATTTAGCAATGAAAATATTTTGAGAAAAAGAACAAAAAAGACTACTCAAAGTACTTAACTCTGGCCTCCTGGGCCCTGATCTACCAGAGGCAGAGGTGCCATGCAAGTGGAAATGGTGTAGAACTGGCATACCACACAAGGCCCCTCCTGCCCTCTGCATTTCTTCATGTATAAATTCCCGGGGGTCCATGAAAACAATTAAATGTCCCCTCCTATAGTCTACTCAACCAGGCTGCTGCTGAGGAAGAGAGGGAAGAACGCAGGCTCAAGCAAGGCAGAAAAAGAGAGAAGAAAAGCTTTTTTGCCCTATGGCTGAGTGATATTCTGCCCCTTTCTCTGCACCCTTGCAGTCTGCCTTCCCAACAGGTGTTTGTCCAGAAGGTTGCCCAGCAAGCCTCCATTCCATTCCCATCCCAGAATGTGTCAGCCATCTCAGATACTTGAAATGGGTCTGTTTTGCATTTTCTTTCTTACTTTTTCTAGATTGATTTTAGAATCTCAGAACACTTCTTTGCCCATTTCAACTTAGGAAAGATTCCATTTCTCTGGCTGAATTCCTAGTTGGCCATCAGGGGAGAACTGATGTTTTAATCCACTCTTTGATTTCAGTTTCATCCCAGGTAAAGGTCTGTAGAGATACCTAAAATTATCACCTTGAATCTGACTTTCCTTAGAAAGCAAGAGGATAGGAAGTGAGGAAGAACTTGTTTCCATAATGTCAGTATAAGAGGAAAATGCATTAATGTCTGAAATAGCAGGCATGTGAAATTTTTTAAATGCCTAAGCAGTGGTTTGTTTGGGGAATAAAAAAGAGAAAATGAGTTTTAATTAAAAGTAGAATAAATGGAGTGACTCATTTTAACATATGTGTGGACAAATCAAGTTATGTGAGAGAGACATTTTATACCAGGTAATTTTAGATAGAAAGTATAGGTGCTTTTTAAAAGTCTTATGTTTTTTTTGTTTTGTTTTGTTTTTTTAACAAATATAATCCAAATTACACAGCCAGAACCAATTATTAGTGTCACCTGTGTTCTTTGTTAATTCAGTTACACTATTCAGTTTTAAGCTAATTAAGGGCCTTTTACTTAGGTAGACTAGATCTATATGACTGTTTAGAAAGAATATAATAAACTGTTAAACGGTTTTTAGCTACACTGTTGGCTATTATGAATGTGGTTGTGTCACTCACAGAAAAAAATCTAATGACTGAGTTTCTCTGAACTTAGGGTCATAAAAGAGAGAAAGAAAACGTACTCTTCCACCTTACCTCTGGCACCCGGAGGGCTCTGTCTCCATCTAATCCCAAAACAAGATCACCAGGCCCCGCCCGCCTTTGGTAAGTCAAGTTCACAAGGCTGACAGATGCTGCTTGCTGCAGAATGAGTAGCTTCTGTCCTCAAAGCCAACTACCCACCCACCCACACACAGCGTGGCTTCGACTAAGCTAAGAAAAAAGGGATGGGTCTCTGAAGTGAACCTGTTTCTGCATTTGCCTCATTAAAGTCAAGCACACTGCTTCTCCATAAACACACCTAGCTAAATTGCATCGCTTTCCATAACTGAGTATTCTGGATTCTGACAGGCCCATTCTGATGTGCCTTCTCTCCATGTTGTTTGCTTGCTATGCAGGCTCCCATCCAAGTCCTTTCCTCACTTGCCTGGCACACCCCGACCGGCATCCTCCTTGCCTCCCAGCTCAGTCAAAGCTGCACCTGCTCAGGCCCGGCCCCCATCCCCAGGCAATATCCGCCCTGTCAAGAGAGAAGTCAGAGTGGAACCTGAGAAAAAGGACCCTGAGAAGGAACCACAGAAAGTTGCCAACGAACCCTCAGTAAAAGGCAGAACACCTTTAGTGAAGGTAGAGGAGGCCCCAGTTGAAGAGGGGACACCTGTGGAACCAGAAGCTGGTCCTGGTGAGGATGGATTGACTCATGCTGGGACAGGACATGGGATGGCTGTTCTCTGTCCTTACTCTTCTTCTCCTGTACTCTTTTATTTACCTTCTTCCTAGAGACTTGGAAATCTTACTCTGGGCTTGTTCTTAAGTATAATTGCCTAACATAAAAAACAAGAGATCCATCTGTTCATCCAACAGCTCGTTGTTGGAAACCCAGCATGTTAATTCACACAGGTTTCTGAGCCTTTTGTTGGCTGAGTCCAATCTTTCAGAAACCATGTTGTTCAGAACACCTGCATCAGAGTCATGCATCCCATTAGTTAATCTGCTGCTGGATAACAAAGTACCCCCCAAATTTAGCAGCTTAACACACTGTATCACATTTACTATATCACAATATTCTTGGGGCAGGAATTTGGGGGCATCTTAGCTGGGTGGTTGTGGGTCAGGGTCTCTTGTGGGATTGCAGTCCAGCCATTGGCAGGGATGAGGTCATCTCCAGAATCCATGGAACTGGAAGATGGCTTCAGTACCGGGCTTGTTTTCATGACATGCAGACCTCTCCACCGTGTGACTTCATGCCTTCATAATCTGCTCACTCTGCTGGCCTCTCCAGAGTGAGTGATCTGGGAGGGAGAATAAGGAGGAAACCTTATTCTTTGTCTTGTAAGACCTAGTCTCAGAAGTGACATGCCAGTATTTGTTATGTTCTATTCATTAAGACATAAGTCACTAGTTTGGACTCACAGCCAAGTAAAGGCAATTAGCATCCACCTTTTGAAGGGGAGATTTTTTTTTCAAAGAATTTATGGAAGTATTTTAAACTACCACCTCCAGGGTTTTTCAAAATACAAAGCCGTAACCTTACCTCAAACCTCTTGGATCAGAATGTGAGGTGATGGATCCAAGAACTCTGGCAGGTTACTAAGCTTTTGGTTTATTCCTTTGCGCACTAGAGTCTGAGGACCCCTCACTTAGCCTGCATGCTTGACAGGTCAGAATTCTTTTCCAGCAGACCCACTGGTTTTCATCTCTGTGAGGCTAACTGGATACTGGTTAGAAGTTTGGAATCACCTGTATCTAGGATTTCACTGTATTCTTGGTGAAAATTACTTCCTTTCCAAATATTTCTGTGTAAGATAGTTTGAAGATCAAGGGGTGGCGCAAAGGATGATTCAACACAGGTGAAAATGTTAGCATGCTTGAGTCCAGTTATTACTTTCATGAAAAGAGGGAGAGGATAAGAGCCCAGCATGATGAGAAAGAACACTGTAGGAGCAGAAGTAGAAATGTACATCTGAAAAGGAGGGCCAGGAGTGATCAGGGGCCTCCCCATGGTGCCAGATCAGTGGTGAAGCTCTGTGGGTATCTTCATGTACCAGCTTCCTAGGTCATCTTCCTAAATCAGGATAAGGAGAGAGGCCGATGTGTGGGCAGCATGCATGCCTGCCCCTGGCAAGGCTCCTGCCTCCTAAGCATCTCAGACCTGAAGACAGCTCTAGGTAGACTTCTTTCTAAAGGGGGCCTCTTCAAGGTGTCATCCACCCAGCCTGTGTGTGGGGACTGTCATAGCAAGGCCTTAAAGGTCTAGTAATGAATAGTCACCAAAGCATAGGAATTTCTAAAGTGAAACAGAAGACTAACGGAAGGTCTCATCTTCATTTCGCTCAGTGTGTGACTTCCCACAGGATCCCGTATGAGGCTCCACTCAGTGCACACTTGATAGACATGCTGACTGACTTAACTGCTATAAAAATAAGGTTGGGACAGAGTGTGAACTTTGTTGGATGTCTCACTTACTCATGCAGGCTTTTGTTATCTGTTGCTGGGTTACAGATAGACCACAGTGAAACCGTGAGAACACACAGTAATAAATGTTCCCTTTTCTTGGATAATAATGAATCCTAGACCTGGGGTGTGGGGAATGCTAGATTTTGTTTTGTTCTTTGGTTTTTGTTTCCAATTGGCTTTCTCCTTTTTCTCCTTGTACTTATTTGTACAGCTGCTCCATCCACGGCCCCAGCCTCAGCCCCTACCCCAGCCTCAGCCCCAGCTCCATTCTCAGCCCCAGCTCCAGCTCCAGCTCCAGCTCCAGCTCCAGCCCCAGCTCCAGTCCTAGCTCCAGCCCTAGCCCCAGCTCCATCATCCACTATGACGTCCAGTGCTGCCCCTAAACCCTCTGCAGGCACCACCGACCCAGAAGAGGCCACAAGGCTGCTGGCTGAGAAGAGGCGGCTGGCCCGAGAGCAGAGAGACAAGGAGGAAAGGGAGAGGAGGGAGAAGGAAGAGCTGGAAAGGTAAAGGGAGTCCCAAAGACATGATGTCAGTGGTACCCCAGTGACACATGGGATTAAGTGTTGCATCTGAGAGGGAGGAGGTGGTAGTAGGGACAAGGTGAAAGTTTCAGAATTCCACTGAACAGGAAATGTGCCTTTAAGTCATATTTTGATCAAAGTACATTACATGCATGTATGGAAATATCACAGTGAAACCCCTTTGCGCAATTAATATGCACTAATAAAAAAGAGAAAAAGTAAAGACTGTCAAAAGAGGAAAACAAAACAACTACATTGATGGGGAAAGGTTTAAAGGGAAAAAATATATCCATTATCTCAACTGATTTTCTGTGTAAATTTTGGATGGTCCTTTCTAGGCTCTGAGTAGTCTGTATATAACACACAGTTAAATACATAAACATGTTTACAGAATTATAATCACAATAGAAGTGCAATTGTGCAGTCCACTTTTTCACTTAACATAGCTCTAATCTCTACATTTTCTCATCTTTGTGATTATCATTTTAAAGCTCCATAATAAGGGTTCATGGGTTGTGTTTTGGTGGGTTTTTTTGGTTTTGTTTTGTTTGTTCAAATGAAACTCCTCTCAGGGTAGCTTGGGGAGATGTTTAAATGTTTCAAGATTTCCTGCCAGACAGTATGCCAGGGACAGTTTGCTTAATTGGTCACCTTCTGGAGTTAATAAGCCTAATTCAATATAATTATCCTTTTTCCCCTCTTTTTTATTGGTGTATATTAATTCTAATATTTTTGAGACAAGCAGAGCTGTACTGTGGGGGAGGCCTCAGACCTGGTGCTGGGCCACCATCTTCAAAGTGCCTTGCTCCTGGCTCCCTAGGGTTCCATCTGGAAGCTTACATGGCCTATGCCCCTTCTATTCAGAGACACAATATAGGGACTTCCTTTTTCTTCTAGGGTTGAACTCAGTGTTGGCTGGAACTCAGAGCCTTGGCTTGCCAGGCCTCTATCCCTCGAGCCATGCTCCCAGCCTTTTTTCTTTTTAGTTTGTTTTTCAGATCAGGTCTTGCACTAACTTTGCCCAAGCTGGCCAGGACCTGCAATCCTCCTACCTCTGCCTCCCAAGCAGCTGGGACTAGTGGATGCATGACCACACCTGTGATCTTTTTATGTACAAAGATTTTCTTCCAGGGTACTGGGGTTTCACATGATTGTTATGAAAAAGTTGTATCATATCCATCATACAAGTCTCAGCCTTTAAAAATAGTTAAATTGAAAATCCTTTGAAAAAGCAACCTCTCCCAAGTACTACTAGTGGTGACACTTTGCTCTGTTTACCACAGGCAGCAGTGAAGTTGGGCGGGGAGGGGAAGAGTAAAAGGTGACCTCATATCTTGTCCCCTACCCTTGTTGAAGGCATCCACTGGGGGATGCTCTTCCCGACCTCTGAACAGCCTCTCCTCAGGTCATTCCCCCTGCGCCCTTGTCTCTCCCCAGACAAAAGAGAGAGGAGCTAGCCCAGAGGGTGGCTGAAGAGCGGAGTCGCAGGGAGGAGGAGGCCCGGCGGCTGGAGGCCGAGCAGGCGCAGGAGAGGGCTCAGGCACGGAGGCTGGCGGAGCAGGAGCGTGGGCGGCGCGAGCGCGAGGAGGCGGAGCGCGCCCAGAGACAGGTGCCACACCTGTGCGCAGGGGACACTAGGGGCTGCGTAGGTGACACTGCATGGGGGGCAAGTCACAGGTAGAAGTGTGCCCAGGATGGGGCTCCCACATGGCCCTCTTTTGGTGTCCCCAGGCAGGGGGACAGGCGGAACCAGGTGCCAACAACACACTGATAACGACTTCTTGTTTCCAGAAAGAAGAAGAAGCTCGAGTCCGGGAAGAAGCGGAGCGTGCCCGGCAGGAGCGGGAGAAACACTTCCAGAAGGAGGAGCAGGAGCGCCTGGAGAGAAAGAAGGTGCTGGCTTGGGGGGAAGGGAGACTGGGGCCGTGTCATCAGGAACAGATGTGATCCACCTTGGTTTTTCTTTTTTTTTTTTTTTTTGCTTTACTGAGGTTTGAACTCACGGCCTCCAGAAGCTTTACCATTTGAGCCATACCCATAACCCTTTTTGCTTTATTTTTCAGGTAGAGTCTAGAGATTTTGCCCAGCCACCCTTGGTCTGTGGTCCTCCCTCCTCCACCTCCACCTCTACCTCTCACTTAGCTAGTTTTACAGTGAGCAACCACTGTGGGCTTGTTCTTTGAGAAGGGGGTCTCCTAACTTTTTGCAGAGGCTGGCCTGGATCCACAATGCTATATGAACCTCCCAAGTAGCTGGGATTACAGACAGGAGCCACCCTGACAGGCCTGTGTGCCACTCTTGCCACATAAGTAGCCTTCAGTATTAATAATCTCATCCTAAGAAACCACTCTCAAAGTTTCCGTCTTCCCCAAAGTAGTTTCTTTCACTGCGAGTAGCTTAAGCCAGTTCCAACCATTTTGAATAACTCAGATCAAGACAAAGCAATGTAAGTGATACTTTCCCTAAGCAACAGATGTGTTTGAATAATGGGCTGTTTTGTTGCCCAAGTGTGCCAGCTGGCTTGCTTTCGGTAGCTGATCCTCTTGCTCATTCATTTTTTCTTGCAGCGACTTGAGGAGATCATGAAAAGAACCAGGAAGACAGAAGCTACAGAGAAGGTACTGGCACGACCATTTGTCTACTACTCTTGATGGCTCTTACGGGTTTTTTTGTTTTGTTTTGTGGTGCTGGAGATCCAACTTTGCACGTGGGTTTGCACAGGTACAAGCACTGTACCGCTGGTAACTTTAATTTTTAAGGCTTGTCTTCTTCTTTGTGGCAGAAAACCGCTGATCAGAGCAATGGTGACATAGCCAAAGAAGCTCTCACTGGAGGAACAGGTATTTCTGTCATTGAATTCAAGTGGGTTGAATTGACTCTAGAAATGAGACATGCATGGGCTAGTGGGGGGTATCCGTACACTCACAGGGGCAGAGGTGACTGTCATCTAGTCCGCAAGTTTTCCCCTTATGTAAAACACTTGTTTTCTCTGAAGGGCTTTATGGTTGCACTTTTCGACAGCTTGGACTTATAGCAGTTCTCAGGAAAAATGTATTTAAATGTTATGTCTTTTCTGTCTTCAGAATAGAGATAAAATTTTAAATTTATTGAAATTTCATTGGAAGTTGTTTGTATTATGTAATCCTTGGACTGACATTACTGGTTTCTTGATGATTTTAATCCATATTGGTTTTATTTTTCTAATTTTTTGTTATTATTAACAATATAAAAATAATATTATTTTATTGCTATACTGGAGTACATTGTGACATTTACAAAAGTGCTGAAATATATCTTAGTTAAATTCACCACCTCCATTCTTTTTTTATTATAAAACTTTTTATTATTTGTTCTAGTTCATATAAGTATATGAAGCCCATCAACCATATACCCTCACCTTAATCTCCTTCGTTCACCCTCCCCCTCACACTAGTACCCCCCCACACACATACTGTCAAAAAAAAGTTGATATTCAGAGGGGCTTCTCAATGTATCCCCAATGTGGGTATTCTTCGTTTTGGTCCGTTCAAGCCCTACCATTACTCTCCCTTACCCCTGTACCTCCTGCCCCCCATTTTCAACAGCTTTCAGTACCCATCCTTATATCTTCTACCTTCATATCTGATGTTATACAGTGTTACTGATGCTCTATCATTCTCTTTTCCTTTCCTCGAGTTTCATAGAGTAGTTCCACTAATACTAATATGTTTGTATATGGTCATGTTTGTTTTTGTATATTTGTTTATCTTTGGATCTATCTTTCATGTAGGGGAAAACATGCAGCCTTTGTCTTTCTGAGCGTGGCTTATTTTGCTTAACATGTCCTGCAATTGCATCCATTTACCTTCAAACCACATCATTATTCCTTATGGCTGAGTAAAACTGTATATATACTACATTTTCTTGATCCATTGATCAGTTGTAGGGCACCTGGGTTGTTTCCATAACGTGGTTATTATGAATAGTGCCTGGATGAATATTGGTGTACAGGTGTCTCTGTTGTATCCTGACTTATGTTCCTTTGGGTAGATGCCCAGAAGTGGTATCACTGGGTCATATGGCTGTTCTATTTTAGCATTTTGAGGAATCTCCATATTGCTTTCTGTAGTGGTTGTACTAATTTGCATCCCCACCAACAGTATATAAGGGTTCCTGTTTCTCCACATCCTTACCAGCATTTGTTGGTGTTAATGCCCTTGAACATGGCCATTCTAATTGTAGTGAGGTGAAATCTTAGTGTAGTTTTGATTCGCATCCCTTCTATAGCCAGGAAGTTGAACACTTCTTCATGCATTTCCTGGCCATTTGTACCACTTCCTTTGAAAATTCCCTGTTTAATTCATGTGCCCATTTCTTCATTGGGATGTTGACTCTTTGGGGGCTGAGTTTTTGAGTTCCCTTTAGATTCTGGTTATTAGTCCGTTGGATGAGTAGCTGGCAAAGATACTCTCCATTCTGTGTGCTGTCTCTTGAGTCTGGGGACTGTTTCCTTTGCTGTGCAGAAGCTCTTTAGTCTGGTGCAGTGTCAGCTCATTCTTTCTCTTAGATGCTGAGCCTTTTGAGTTCTACTAAGGAAATTGCTCCCTATACTGTATGTCCCAGTGTATTTCTTACTTCTTTCTGGAGTTGTTTTAAGGTTTCAGGCCTTATGTTAAGGCCTTTGATCCACGTTGAGTTGATTTTTATACAGGATGAGAGACAGGGATCTAGTTTCAGTCTTCTACATGTAGATATCTACATGTAGATAAAGAAGCTGTCTTTTCTCCATCATGTGTTTTGGGCTGCTTTTTCAAAGATCAGTTGGGTGTAGATGCGTGGGTTTATGTCTGGGTCTTCTGTTCTAATCCGTTCATCTTCCTGTCTGTTTTTGTGCCAACACCATGCTGTTTTTATTGTTATGGCTCTGTAGTATAGTTTGAAGTCAGGTATTGTGATACTTCCAGCATTGGACTTTTTGCCCAGAATTGCTTTGGCTACTCAAGGTCTTTTGCATTTCCATATGTATTTCAGGATTGCTTTTTCTATTTCTGCGCAGAATGTCATTAGAATTTTGGTAGGGATTGCGTTGAACATGTAGATTGCTTTTGGTAATATGGCCATTTTCACAATGTTGATTCAACCAATTCACGAACATGGAAGATCATTCCATCTTCTGAAGTCTTCTTTGATTTCTCTCTTCAGTGGTTTACAGTCTTCATTGAAAAGGTCTTTGGTTTCCTTCATTAAATTTATTCCAAGGTACTTTATTGTTTTTAAGGCCATTGTAAATGGGATGGTTTCCCTGATTTCTTTCTCAATCTGTTCATTGTTAGTATATAGGAAGGCTACTGATTTCTGTATGTTAATTTTGTATCCTACTTTGTCAAAAGAGTTTATGATTTCTAATAGTTTTTTGGTAGAGTTTTTAGGTTCTTTTGCTATGAGATCATGTCATCTGCAAATAGGAATGGTTTGACTTCTTCTTTCCCTATTTGAATCCCTTTTATTTTATTTATTGCTCTGGCTAAGAATTCCAAAACTATATTGAATAGGAGTGGGGAAACTGGGCATCTCTGTCTCATTCCTGACTTTAATGAGAATAGTTTCAGTTGTTCTCCATTTAGTATAATGTTGACTATAGGTTTGTCATATATCACCTTTATAATGTTGAGGAACATTTCTTTTATTCCTAGTTTCTTCAGACCTTTTATCATGAAAAGGTGTTGGATTTTGTCAAAGGCTTTTTCTGTACCTATTGAGAGGATCATGTGGTTTTTGTCCTTGCTTCTGTTTATATGCTGTATTACATTTATAGATTTACATATGCTGAACCATCCTTGGAATGAAACTGACTTGGTCGTGGTATATGATCATTTTGATGTATTGTTGAATTCTGTTTGCCAGTATTTTGTTGCATATCTTTGCATCTATATTCATTAAAGATATTGCTCTATAATTCTCTTTTTTGTTTGCATCTTTATTGGGTTTTGGAATGAGTGTAATGCTGGCTTAATAGAATGAGTTCAGGAGTGTTCTGTCCCTTTTTATTTCCTGGAAAAGTTTGAAGTGTGTTAGTATTAGTTCTTGCTTAAAGGTTTGGTAAAATTCAGCCATGAATCCATCAAGTCCTGGGCTGTTCTTTGTAGGGAGGCTCTTTATGACTGCTTTAATTTCATTACTTGTAACAAGTCTATTTAGGTGGTTGATACCATCTTTGTTCAATTTTAGTTGCTTATGTACATCTAAAAACTTATTTATTTACCCATTTCATCTAGATTTTTCAGTTTATTTGAGTATAAGTTTTCAAAGTACTCTCTAATAATCCTCTAGATTTCATTAGCATTTGTGGTTATGTCTCCTTTTTCATCTCTGATTTTATTAATTTAGGCTTTTTCCCTCCTCCCATTTTGTCTTGCTGGCTAAGAGTTTGTAAATCTTGTTAATCTTTTCAAAGAACCAATTTTTTGTTTCATTGATTCTTTCTATAGTTTTTTTAATCTCAGCCCTGATCTTTATTTCTCTGTGTCAGCTGATTTGGGGTTTGGTATGTTCTTGTTTTTTAGAAGCTTAAGGTACATAATTGGGTTGTTTGTGAAGTCTCAGTTATTTTAATGTCTTGTTTGATTTCTTCCCTTAGTTCTTTGGTCACCCACTGGTCATTCAGCAATGTGTTATCATTCTCCATGTGTTAGAATATTGTCTGTGGTTTCTTTTGTTGTTGGGGTCTAGTTTTATTCTGTTGTGATCTGATATGATACATGGTATTATTTCAATTTTCTTGACTTTGTTGAGACTTTGTGTCCTAAAATATGATCTATTTTGGAGCAAATTCCATGAGCTGCAGAAAAGAATGTGTATTGCCTGGTTGTTGGGTGAAATACTCTGTAGATGTCTATTATGTCCACTTGGTCTAACATGTGCAGAAGCTCTGAAGTTTTTTTTTGTTGAACTTTTGTCTGGATAACCTATCTATTGGGTGACAGTAGGGTATTCGGGTCTCTCACTATCACTGTGTTAGGGTCTATCGGTGCTCTTAGGTCCATTCGAGGGTTTTTTTGTTTTTGTTTTTTTTTTTATGTAGATGGGTGCCCCTATGTTTGGTGCACATGTTAAGACTGATATTTCTTCTTGATGAATTGTTCCTTCAATTAATATGAAGTGATCTTCATTGTCTTTTCTGACTCATTTTGGTCTGATGTCTACTTTGTCAGATATGTCAAAGTATGAGTTCAAATCCCAGTACTTTGTGGACCTACACCTCAAGCCACTCCGCAAGCTCTTTTAGTGGTGGGTTTTTTTCTTTTTCTTTTTTTTTTTTTCTTTTATTATTCATATGTGCATACAAGGCTTGGGTCATTTCTCCCCCCTGCCCCCACCCCCTCCCTGACCACCCACTCCGCCGCCCTCCCTCTCTCCCCCACCCCCTCAATACTTAGCAGAAACTATTTTGCCCTTATTTCTAATTTTGTTGAAGAGACAGTATAAGCCATAATAGGAAGGAACAAGTGTTTTTGCTGGTTGAGATAAGGATAGCTATACAGGGCATTGACTCACATTGATTTCCTGTGCGTGTGTGTTACCTTCTAGGTTAATTCTTTTTGATCTCACCTTTTCTCTAGTTCCTGGTCCCCTTTTCCTATTGGCCTCAGTTGCTTTTATGGTATCTGCTTTAGTTTCTCTGCGTTAAGGGCAACAAATGCTAGCTAGTTTTTTAGGTGTCTTACCTATCCTCACCCCTCCCTTGTGTGCTCTCGCTTTTATCATGTGCTCATAGTCCAATCCCCTTGTTGTGTTTGCCCTTGATCTAATGTCCACATATGAGGGAGAACATACGATTTTTGGTTGCAGAGGATCCCAGCGTGGAAGCATACAGCGGACGCCCCCGGGTTTTTTTCAAGACAGGGTCTTGTGAACTATTTGCCTGGGCTGGCTTTGAATTATGATCCTCCAGATCTCTGCCTCCTGAGTAGCTGGGATTACAGGTGTGACCCATCTTCACCTGGCCTCATCATTCTCCTTCACTCTCCTTCCCCCCATTCTTAGAATAGCTTCAACACCAAATGTGGTTTAAATGAAAATAAAATTAAGCTTAGGTTTAGGATTCTGATTCAATTAATAAAAATTAAATGCCCCTTTTTTGTTACATACATCTTTGGAGGATGCTTTCTCTGGAGGCAACAAGCATTTTTTAAACCTTCTATGTGTCAGGCTCTAATGTAGGTGCTGGGATTCAACATGAGCAAAACAAGCTAAATCTTTCCCCAGAGATACTCAGGGCCAGTGACAGCCCAGCTGAGGTAGTTGGGGTTCAGGTCACCAGCTCCTAATTCTCATTCTGATCCCACATGGTCTTCATGGCTGAGCATACAGGTGGTTGGTAGATAGCTCATCATTCAGTCTCCTTTCCTCACCTGCAATGTCAGTGTGAAAAAGAAAGGTCCGGGGTGCCTTCATTTCTTTTTCTATTTACAAAAGGAACAAAGGCTGGAATACCTCACAGGGCCTAATTAAAGATCAAATAACTGACTCTGTAAATTGTAGGGGTTATTCTTTTTTTTTTTTTTGATATGGAGTTTGAACTCAGGGCCTCACATTTGCTAGACAGGCACCCTACCACTTGAGCCACTCTGCCAGCCTTTCTCTGTTGGGTATTTTAAGGTAAGGTCTCATGCACTATTTGCCCCTGTTGGCCTCAAACCGCAATCCTCCTGATCTCTGCCTCCTGTGTAGCTAGGATTACAGGCATGAGCCACTGGCACCCTGCTGGGGTTTTTCAAATGTAAGCTATTCCTGGCATTCAGTTTGATTTCAGTAGATGTTCTTCTGGTTTCTGTGTGCCATCATTCCTTTATGCTGGAGTTTCCATGCTTTTTTTAGAGATGACCCTGTTCCATTGGTTTAGCGCCCTGTCTTAGTGGCTGCATAACTGTACTGTGTTCCCTCCCCATGCCATCTCCCGTAACATTACATAGCTATGGGTGTACAGTGTTGGCAGCCACCACAGTCAGGGTCATCAGAGTGGTTCAGCTACTCAGAAGGATGCTGTGGTCTGTGCCTGGCCAGCCTCCTGGGCTTGTTTTGTTTTTCCCTGTCTGTTCTTTGAGTAGTCTTTGTACTCAATGCAAGACCAAACAAAGGCAACTGGGAAGGTGAAACTTAATGGGTGTCCACTTCTCAGAAATTTGACCTGAGTTAAAACTTCTAAAAAGAGGCCTGAGGATTAAACGTTCCCTTATCCTCATCTTGCATCTGGTTGAGGGCTGAATGGGGTTATCAGTGCTACAAGAATTCATGGATGGGTAGGCAGGCAAGTTCACAGGCCCACCAGAAGTCTTCCTAGAGACTACCTATTATCAGCTTTGCAAATGTTGGCAGTTTTAAAATTACCAATCACTTCTTTGGTCCAGTTTTCAGATTCCTTGTCCCTCTGGCAATTTTACTAAATTTATGCTGGCTTATGAAACACTCTTGGAATTATTTCAGTTTCTGTCACATCAAGCTAAACCACAAACTGCCACAGATGTCTGTGACATTGGACCTGTATGACGGTTTACAATACCTTAAGTAGCAGTCCTGGATTTTGGACTCGGGTGTCAATATTGTCAGCTTGAGCTAAAAGTAGCATCCAATTTAAGTCCATTGAGTATTAAATTACAGGGTGGCACAGTCAGGTACAGTGTACTGTGAGCTTCCATTTGTGAAATCCCCATCAGTCTAAGTATGGCTAGAACTGATTGTGATTGTAAAGATTTGTCTTGTCACTTGTACTGTTCCATGTGATTTGCTCCAAATCCCTCATAAAGATGTTTGGTGTCAACCGATATATCAGCTTACTGCTGTCATCTTCAATGGCTTTGATTTCAGTACACACTTTTTGTCCAGAGCCAATTTAGTGTAAGCAAAAATAATAGTAACATTTATTTCAACCTTTACAATGTGCTCAACACATTGTAAAGAATTCTGCACATATTAATACATTTAGTTCTCACCATAGCCTATAAGCTAGATACCATTATTCACAAGGAGACAGGGGCACAGGGAGTTTGACACTTGCCCAGAGTCCTCAACTGTACATCACAGAGTCAGGACATAAAGCAGAGGATTCTGGCTCTGAGGGGTTTGGGTTTGATGATAGAGTATTAGTAACCGTTTGCTCTCCGTCCTTTGCTGTGTACAGAGGTATCCACACTTCCGTGTGTGACAACCTCCCCTGGAAATGGAGACTCAGAAGCCAGCCCACATGTTGTCACTTCACACCAATCAAAAGTGACCATGGCAAGGTGAGTCAAACAACTGGAATTAATGCATTGTCGCATTTGCCACAATTGCAAAGTTTTAACATGAAGATTTATTTTTATTTGGGCTCATTAATTTTTATCAAAACTTGTAACTGTACTATGAGAAAAGGAAAATGTCTTTTATCATGAGTCTTGATGGTGAGGTGTTGCTGGCCAGTAAAGAAAACTATAAGAAGTAATTGTTAGTTTTCTTTGTCTGTGTTTCACCTGGCCTGGACCATATCCACACACATTAGTGGCATATCGCATCTGTATTTTAGACATGTGTAATATTACAGTGAGTCTCAGATCTGCTCCACATTAAAAATAACTCAGGTGCTAACCTTTCTTATATTACTAGTAGCTGACCTTATTGAGGAGTCAAACAGTTGCAATCAAAAGAGGAGTTAGGGTAAAGAACAATTACCCTTCTTTTCCCTTGTGTTAATATCAACAGTATCATAGGTAATCATAGACTATAGCTAAAAATCTAATCTTAAAGAACTTACAAGAATATTAATAATGTTCAAAAATTTTAGTTCTGTTCAAAAAATTTTTATTTTATTTAAAACTTTTGGAATGTACTTCAATTATGAATTTTCCCATCTGTAATGCCAGAATGTTTGCTACCAAGAGAGAATTCAGAGAATTGAAAGTCCTCAAACTAATTGTTTTGTTTGGTTTCTTAGACAAAGTCTTACTATGTAACCCAGACTGGCCTCAAACTCACAATCTTCCTGCCTCAGCCTCCTCAGTGCCAGGATCAGGTGTGCACCACCACACCTGGCTCAAATTGTTTAATTTTAATCCAAAAATACATATACTACACATTTTATAATTAGTGGCAATTAAAAGATAATCCTTCCTACCATTGATACCTTTGTGGGACATTGGAATATTTTTGTATGTTATAATATCCAAGAGATAATTTTCCTGAGAGGTCTTTTTTTTTCCTTTTTTGGCAGTACTGGGGTTTGAACACAGGGCCTTGTGCATGCTAGACAAGCAGTCTACACTTCCAGCCCTTTTTGCTTTTTGCACAGGGCTGGCCTCAAACTGTGAGCCTCCTACCTATGCCTCCTGAGTAGTTGAGATTATAGGTATCCACCACCATGCCTGCCTTGTTCTGCTGAGATAGTGTTGCTACATTTTTGCCTGATCTGGCCTCAAATCATGATCTTCCCAATATCCCCCTCCATGCCCAGACTTCCTAAATGATCTTAATAATCTTTCAATCACATTGATTGAATTTATTATAATTACCTTAAGTGTGTATTAAATAGTATTTTTTTCTTAGTTCAATGTTCAAAAAAAATCTGTTCCCACCACCTGTCATTTTTTATGTTTAATTAATTGAACACCAAAAATTCAGAGATTTGCAAGAAAGAATAAAACATACTGCAGAGAATTTGTTTTTGGCAGAACTAAAAAATATTCCCACAGAAAGAATTCCATTATGATGATGAGGAACAGGCAATGCATGCAACAGCTTAATAAGCCACTGATAATTCTGTCTAATCAGTAAAATTGGTTTATGCCTTAGTTGACTCTTCAGTAGCAAAATCAGCAAGTAATCATTGTATTAGACATTAAAACCTAGCTTTATTAGGTAAATGATTAGATAATAAACTATTTTCTTTGAGCTTCCTCCACATAGAAAACCAGGATTTTAGAATAAAACTAAAATGAACTTATTGGTGTCATCCATGTTTACCAAGGAGTAAACTGTCCTTTTTCACATGAGAGATGTGGCTTAACAGAGGTTAAGCCATTGGGAGAAAGTTGCACATAGACTTTCTGTACTCTCGGTAACAGCACAGGCATGTCTGGGTTAGCATCACTTACAAAGATAACCAATAATGAGTAATCCTAACCAGTTAAATGCTCTGACCATCTTCCCCAGAAGAATTCCAGCAGATTCCCAGAGTTACTTGTACTATTTTTTACAAATATAAATTTAGGCCTAAAATTCGTTTAGCTCTTATTCCTCTATAAAACCAAAACAATGAATCACAAATTTAAGTAAAAAAATAAAAGGAGTACTTTTATTACCATGCTGGGCATGGTGGCATGTGTACCTGTCATTGTAGCATAGGTAGTTGGATTGTGATCCAGGCCAGCCCTAGGCAAAACACAAGACCCTATCTTAAAATATAATAACAGTAATAACTTATAGTATAAAGGGCTGGAGGTATGGCTCAAGTGGCAGAACGCTTACCTAATAACCACAAGGCCGTGAGTTCAAACCCCAGTACCACCAAAACAAAGTAAATATTCATGTAGCGAGCTGGACCCCAGTTTGAGAAATGTTCCATTCCCGAATAATGTTTAATGTGATACAAATAAGTTTGTTCCCACTGCAGGACACACAGTTAGCTTAAGGAACTCTGCTCCCCTTAATTATTTTTAAATTTGTCTTCCTTGAATTTATCCAGGTCAGTCTTGAATCTTTCACTTGGCATGACCTCTTGTAGCACTGAAGGAAGTGCGCAAAGATGTCCTTTGATTTCTCACTTTTAAAGACAGGACCCATGGTCACCAACACTAGGTTTTAGAGAATAAGTCCTCTGCCGTGCTCTGCATGGTTGTATGGGTGTTCTTTCCATTCCCTGTCTGCTTTCATCTGATAAACTGAATGAAGCCTTAGCTTTCTCATCTGCATGTGAAGATATTTTCCCCCCAAAGAAATGGTATCTGTGAAGGAGTCTACAAACTTACTCTGAACTGAACAGAGTTAGCTAGCTTGCTATCTTTAACCCCAAATGCAGCATCCCAAAGACGCAGCACACCAGGCGAAGCTGCCATGTGATGTGGAAAAATGTTTTTGTGTTGTTTCTGGTGTCTCACCTTCTTATGCCTACGATTTCATTGGCTTTGTTTCTTATTCTTTCTGTCTTCCATCAAAAGATATGGAGTCAGTGTCACCAGGAAAAACAATTCACAGCAGTTCTAAGATCTCCATCCACTGTGACTGATGCCTTTCCATCTTCTAAGGATGGCTCCATTTGTGGTTTTCTGAGCCCATTGCCTGTGAAACCAGTCACGTAATGACTTTCTTATTGTCCTCATGGGATTCGTCTTAAAGACTTTCATTTCCAAGAGCAAACATTATCTGCATACTTCAAATTTTTCATTCTGGAGTCTTCCAGTAATCATAAAACCAGTCCTGGCACGGAACCCTGGGCCAACCTGAACCCATACTCTTAGGTGTGCCCACCTAAGAGACTGTTTCCTGTTCGTTAATCAGCAGTCCCTTTGATTCAGTGGGACCTATTAACTGTAGTTAAACAGTCTCAGAAACTTCTGGTGACCAGAAGACTTTAAATGTACAAATAAATTACATCCACTGATAGGTCCTTTCACTCCCAGTTTCAAGTCAAGCTTGAAATCACCTACCTGTCATTGTTTTTCACCACGTTGGGTTTCATTTAGTGAAGCACCCTGTGATCCTCATGACCAATCAGCATCCTTACCAAGTATTCTGTGAACCAAAATAGAGACCCCCTCCTGCTTGCCCACTGTGAACTGAGTCACCAGAGATGCCCAGGGTCCCTTCCAAAGAACCTGAGGTGCAAAATGTACCCTGACAAGTGCTATAAGCACAGTGACTCCTCACTGTGAAACATCCATAGTTAAAATTGAGACGTGTCACCTTCCTTGATGCTCCAGTACCTAAAACATGGGTTGGCCTTCTCTTTTTTTTTTTTTTTTTTCATTTTTCTTTTATTATTCATATGTGCATACAAGGCTTGGTTCATTTCTCCCCCCTGCCCCCACCCCCTCCCTCACCACCCACTCCACCCCCTCCCGCTCCCCCCCTCAATACCCAGCAGAAACTATTTTGCCCTTATCTCTAATTTTGTTGTAGAGAGAGTATAAGCAATAATAGGAAGGAACAAGGGGTTTTGCTGGTTGAGATAAGGATAGCTATACAGGGCATTGACTCACATTGATTTCCTGTGCGTGGGTGTTACCTTCTAGGTTAATTCTTTTTAAATCTAACCTTTTCTCTAGTTCCTGGTCCCCTTTTCCTATTGGCCTCAGTTGCTTTAAGGTATCTGCTTTAGTTTCTCTGCATTAAGGGCAACAAATGCTAGCTAGTTTTTTAGGTGTCTTACCTATCCTCACCCCTCCCTTGTGTGCTCTCGCTTTTATCATGTGCTCATAGTCCAATCCACTTGTTCTGTTTGCCCTTGATCTAATGTCCACATATGAGGGAGAACATACGATTTTTGGTCTTTTGAGCCAGGCTAACCTCACTCAGAATGATGTTCTCCAATTCCATCCATTTACCAGCGAATGATAACATTTCGTTCTTCTTCATGGCTGCATAAAATTCCATTGTGTATAGATACCACATTTTCTTAATCCATTCGTCAGTGCTGGGCATCTTGGCTGTTTCCATAACTTGGCTATTGTGAATAGTGCCACAATAAACATGGATGTGCAGGTGCCTCTGGAGTAACCGTCTTTTGGGTATATCCCCAAGAGTGGTATTGCTGGATCAAATGGTAGATCGATGTCCAGCTTTTTAAGTAGCCTCCAAATTTTTTTCCAGAGTGGTTGTACTAGTCTACATTCCCACCAACAGTGTAAGAGGGTTCCTTTTTCCCCGCATCCTCGCCAACACCTGTAGTTGGTGGTGTTGCTGATGATGGCTATTCTAACAGGGGTGAGGTGGAATCTTAGTGTGGTTTTAATTTGCATTTCCTTTATTGCTAGAGATGGTGAGCATTTTTTCATGTGTTTTCTGGGGGTTGGCCTTCTCTTGAGGAGAACTAAATGAGTGCTGTAAGCTGGATTGAGTTTGCCTCATCCCCAGAGACTCGTAACACACTGTCCAATGGCACCCTGGAGCACTGTGTCCTCCGAACAATACTTGTGGGCACCCAGGACTAGTACCCCTTGCTGCAGGGACCCTACACCAGACACCTCCTTATCTTCTTCCCCACCATACTCCTGAGTGAGGCCTCTGGCTCTCAGTCTGTGCTGTGCACTTCAGTTCACACCCTAAAGGCTGTTGTCCTACCCAGCTCTTTTCCCCTCTAACAGCAGGTAGAAATGAAGGGAGCATGGAGTTGTCCATGTAAATAATATATGAACATGTACCTGTGAAATACATAAATACGATTATACAGAAATTTAGAAAATACATAGACTTTATAAAACAAATTTTTATAAAATGAGTGAATTTTCATATAAAAATATTTGAAATGTATTTATGAAATATATTAATATCTAACCTTGAGAGGATCAGTGCTGACTCCAGAGCCCTGTCTGAGTTTTGAGAGCTTTTGGGGAAGGGAGCTCCCACAGGATTGAGGAGGAGACTGGCTCCCGGATTGGAAACTTGCAGTGACAGGGAACAAAGGATACAAACAACTGTGTGACTGCAGGGGGCAGGATACAGGTGACTATAAGAATGGGAGCGGAAGAAATGATTTCATTTTCTCAGATCTTTCTGATTGCTCTTGAGCCTCACCCCCACTGAGAACCTCTGATCTAGAAACTAGAAAGCTCTGGTGGGTGTGCAGGCTTCCACCCACCCTCCTAGCAGCCCAGAAGGCATTTTGTGGTGACATGTAGCCTAGGGAGCTTCCTCTTCAATAGAATGTTCCTATACTCTTGAAGAAAGGGTTTTTAGCAATGTGAAATTTTTCCAGTCCTTGTTCTTAATTTTACTTGCAGAAAAAGTAACATTTCCAAATCCCAATCAGTCATACAGTAAGAGATTTTCCATTTTTAATTTAAAAGTTCCCTGATACAGGTCAGGCAAGAAGTTCTTGGTTTTGGTGGGTGCTAGAGATCAAACCCAGGGCCTTGTGCATGCTAGGCAAGTGCTGTACCTCTGAGCTACATCCCCAGCCCTGACTAATAAATGTCAAAAAATGCTAAGATCTGGCTCTAATAAGCTATGTGGAGTGTGACATTCCCACTGTGGTCCCAACCTCTCCCAGAGCATGCTTTGAACAAAATACACAGTCTTCAAGAGTCTCGCATGCACCTTCAAACTCCCAAGTATAGCCAAGAACAGGAATACAAAAGCTGGTGCTCTTCTCCAAGAGGACTCATGACCTCTAATTCCCACCCCTAGGGTTCTACTGTCAGTTTTATAGTCTCCGCTGGTCACAGTGTCCCCTGAACATGTAATGAATGACTGGCCCTCCAAAGCACCTGACACAAGAAAGAATGGGTAGGCATAGGAGCCCTTGCTGTTCTGACTTAGCATACATAGGCCTGCAAGGTGACAGGAGTTGAGATCGCCGAGGGAGGAGGCCTTTGGAGACATGGTCCTGCTCTTCATCTTTTGCCAAAACTGCTTCTTATATCTTTGAATTGAAAACCAACACTGTTTCTCTGGCTACAGAAAGCCTATTGGTGTTGGGGAATAAAAGGAGGATAGGTGTGGTGGTGCAGACCTTCAGAGTGGAGTGTTAGGCACATGTGTGCACAAACGTTTGACTGCCACTTCAGTAGACTGTGTCAGGCCAGGCCTCCTCCCTCACCCAGCCCCAGATCAAATAGAAGAGTGTGCCATCACACGCTAATATTTTTTTTGTATTGTGCAAATAATATTTTGAAATCCTGCAATGCCTTGTGAAATGCTTAGAACAGGCTTTTTTTTTTTTTCTAAAAAAGTTTTGGGGCCAGGTATGGTATTGGTGTACACCTATAATCCCACTACTCAGAAGACTGCGGTAGGAAAATCACAAGTTCAAGAACAGCCTGGGATACGTAGTGAGACCCTGTTTCAGAACGCCAAAAGAAAAACGAAGGATTAATAACCAAAATGTAAAAAAAAAAAAAAAAAAAATATTCAAATCAGAAATGCTTTAGAATTTAGTTCACAAAGTCATTATTTCTCACTGGGAATGGAAAATAAACTATTCCTTCAATGAGGGGGAAAAAAGCAAAGACTTAAAAAAGAAAAAGCAGGGAAGTTGGGTATACATGTGCTCTATGTTACCATTTGAAAGAGCAGTGAGAAAGTATGCCGAATTTGCTGAAGCTTGGGGCGTTGCCGTTCCTGAGTCTGTAGGTGATTTGTTGAGCACTGGACAAATTAGGAAGCTCACACATTTGTGTACTGCCACAGTCCATTATCGTGAGTGGTAAATTAGTCTGGCACACATTTGTTGTCTAGCCATTGTTTTGTTTTCTCGTGATATAACGTGTAATAACACACATAGAGCATAAAGGCCTGCCTGTTCACTGGAGAGAGAAATAATCCAAAGAAACTCTAATTATGGTTTGGATGGCAAGTTGAATGCACCCTACAATTTAGTCTCTCTTCATCAGTAGGATCTAGATGGGGTCAGAGGTAGACGTAAGGGGCCAAGCTAAGTTTGGTCTTGAACATGTATGTGTGCAGTTACGCAAGTGTCTTTGGAGGCTGGCAGTATTCACGGAGGGCTGAATGTGAAAAGCCATCGTGTGCCCAAAATGCCTTCGTGAGAACAGCACAGGGCCTGAGAGCAGTATGTCATGCGATTACAGCACGGTGTGGCAGCATGCCCCTCTAGTCCCAGCTACTTGGGAGGCTGAGGCAGGAGGATTGCTTGAACCCCTCAATTTGAGGCCAGCCTGGACAAGAACAAAACTCTGTCCCAAAAAAAGAGAGAGAGAGAGCATGCATTTAATCACTTGCTCTTCCACTCTGAGTTAGGGCCCCTCTCATCTCTAAGTGAAGGCCTTGTAAGTGCTTTTTGTTTTCTGTGTTCATAGTCAAACCCAGGGACTTTGTGCATGCTTGGCAAGTACTCTACTACTGAGCTCCATCACCAGGCCCCATAGTACTACTCATTGTTTTGTTGTTTATGATACAGGATCGCACTATAAAGCCTAGGCTTGCCATCCTCCTGCCTCAGCCAGGATTACAGGAATGTACCGCCATGCCCGGCTCTATTTGATAGGTTTTATCTGAATAGGTTTCTTAAATAATAATTTTGAATATGAATATATCACAAGTCACCATTTTTGTTAGTAATATGATCAACCTGATATTTTCATAAAGTAAAATTATGCAAATTTTGCAATTAAGCAATTTTTGGTGTCCTAAAAATGTGTTTTCTAGTTTTAATGCTAACTCGTTTTAACTTTGGTTTTTTTTCAAATTCCCCAGTACTCCCAATTTAGAAGAACAACCAAATGAAAATGGAGTGTCTGTTCAGAATGAAACTTTTGAAGAAATTATAAACTTACCCATTGGCTCCAGACCATCCAGATTAGATGTCACCAACAGTGAGAATACAGAAATTCCTTTGAATCCAATTTTGGCCTTTGATGATGAAGGAACACTTGGGCCCCTTCCTCAGGTAGATGGTGTGCAAACTCAACAGACTGCTGGTAAGCTTTCTTTGAACTCCCTTCTGTAACCATCTGAGATACATGACGCTCAAGAAGGGATGAGCAGTTACTTTGTCCTTCAGGGCCAAGTACACCACAGGGAAAAAACTTGTACATGGATTGTAGAAATTGAATTTTGACTTGGGTTGGACAACTCCTAGGACCAGAAATCCTGTGTGTGGTGCCCTGCAGGCTCTGTCAGCCTCGCCTCACAGAGCAGCACTCAGTACCCAGCACCACACACCTTCCGGACATGCTTTGTGTTCACACCAGGCTCCTCCCTGTAATTTGCTGGCTATTGGGCCAGCTCTGTGCACCACAGAAGAAACTGGGGCTTCTTCCATCTTTCCCAGGTCATCAGATGCTAAAAACTCCACCCCCCCAGGCTTTCTTGCCTGTTTTCTCTTGTTTGGGTTTGGCATCCTGGGTCATATGTTAGTATCTTTTTAAAATGTATTGGATAGTTGTGATATGGGTAATAAGAATAGTACTCCAAACCAGGACCACACTCAGCCCAAAGCATCCATCTCTTGTGGGTGGCTGTGGTTGAAACTGCCTGGGACTCACACTTGACCCTGCAGTCTTGATACAAAAAAAAAAACAGCTTTACAGGAGCCCAAAAATAGAGTACCATCAAATATTACTAACTTGGCCATTGGAGCTCAGCAGCACAGTCCTGGAAGTGTCAGGAAAAAGCCCAGTTCCGTCTCTCCTCCAACCTGTTGGAGCTTTGTTGACTCTTCTCCCCCAAGGTCACATTCACATTGGCCAGCAGCTCTGTGTGCTGCTAAAAAGAGAACTGGCCATGTGTGTGATATTTAAATGCAGGCAGCACAGAATTATGTGTGGTCAGATTATTTTGCCTTTGATTCCATCTGTGACCCTGTAACAAGTAAACCTTTAATGAGGTGAAAAGGCCAATGTTGACCCCCTCCAAATGAAGCTTACCTCCTGTTCTCTTCTAGTGTACTGACCTTAGGAATGGAATTTCACTTAGTGAACTCTGCCTTCTAGGCTGTGAAAGGAGGTCAGAAAGTTCCTCCCTGGGCTGACTTTGTTCCTTCAAGAATATTCTGATTAACCTTACATTGATGGACACACCTGGTATAGCTTCCTGCTTTGTCCCAGATCAAGGACCTTCTGCACTTGCCTCACTTGCCAGGCATTCCATCCCCTTTTAAGTTATCCATCATTCCATTCTCACTTTCCTTCTTTTCCATGCCTTCTCTGGGAAACAGTTCAGTGCCTGTGATCTTGAGTGGAAGAAGGGTTCTTTGGGGTTCATGACTATTTATCAATAAACATTTAACCTCCAATGCAAGTTTGAAGGCCTAAGCCTCTGGTACTGAGGATACAAGACAAGGTTAGAGATTTAAACAACCATCATGTGTACCCTTTGGTTGGTTGGTTTTGGCAGAACTGGGGTTTTGAACTCAGGGTCTTGCATTTGCTAGGCAAGTGCTCTACCACTTGAGCAGCTTCCCAGCCTCCAATGTATGCCATTTATCAGAGTAAATGATACTGCCTAAGTTGAAACAAAGAAAAGTTCTTTGTCTTCCTATTGATAGTGGAGTAAACATAAATATAAGACTGAATCCTAATACAATTGCCCAGTCTTACATAAGACAATGTATGTAACAGCATGGTAAAATTTTAGAAATGTTAGGTATTGCCATGGCATTCTTTAAATACAATTCTAGATAAATGTCGTATTAATCCATTCTTTTTTCTGTCTTATATAGAAGTTGTATGAGCATTTCTTCTGAAGAACCAAAGCAAAAATTTAATAAGAGTTTCTCTAAGTAATGGAATTCCCTTCGTGCTGCAAAGGAGCACCCCCATCTCCAGTTTTCTAAAGATTTCTTGACCGTCATTTTGAAAAGACTTATTAAATCCAGCTAAAGACAACAGACTGGATGGCATTTCTAATAATTCTCACCAATAGAAAGAAATACTCCTTATTCTTCAATACTTTAAAGTGGCTTTTTCCAGTGTGCTCCTTCTTAGCAAAGCAATATTTTTCTTTATTCTTTCAAAGACAAGAGCATTTAAAAGAAACAGGCTGGCTAGGCATGATTTTTCACATGGATATTTTGGTCTTAAAACCTGAACGTCTAAAATTGGCAAAACAAAAAAAAATTCTTTTACTTTAATACTTGAAACATAAGTACCTCTTCGTGCTACAAGTAGAGCAAATGGGGAGGTGTTTAAATTAAACCTGGTTGTTTAAATATTATTGCAAAGAGCTCTATTTGTAGAGACAAATTATAGGCAGATCACCAGGTTCCTGTAAATGCAATTTGTACATGGACTTTCTGCAAACCCAGCTGTCACATTCTTGCAACTCCTTTTCAAAACATACTAACACATCTTAAAATGTGAAAAAACACTATTTTTTCAGAGCAAAAAAGTAATTTACTGTCTTCTTAAGTAATGTATTTATCAAGTTTTTCCAATAAAATCAAATCAGAACAAGGTGACAACATTAAACATTTGCTTCATTAGAATGCACTCCTAGTGTTACCGTGAGACAATGGTACAGATGACCCAGGGCTACTTCTGAAGTTTCTATGTTGCTGCTGTCCCCAGTGATGGCGGGACTTATCTTTGCCTTACCTGATCACAAATTATGTGGGGGGGAAATAAAGACTTAATATTTCTTTAAATTAAAAAAAGAATTTGGTTTTGCTCGTTTCAGAGCAATGAAAAAATGATGGAATGTTGACTGCATGTGGTGCACAGGACAAGGATGGTCGCGGCCGTCCCTGTCCAGGGTGGCATCCATCAGCTTTTCACTCTGCATTGTTCTTCCCTTTTGCTGCTGAGCCTTGTTGTACAAACTTGCACTTTCATTTGCTAATATAAATTCAAATTTATTTTCCCACTCAAGAGACAACTAATGACTAAATATAGAAGGAGAGAGAATGCTGAGAGAACATGTTTTTATGTGAATTCTTGAAAGATAAATTTATACCACTATAATGGTTGGTTTTATACAAAGAGCACTTGGTTACTGTACCAGGTTGAATAAGAGACTATTCATCTATTGGGTTATTTCTTTTAAATCTAAGCATCTGATCTTTAGCAACAGCCTGTAATTTGTTTAAAAAAATTAATTGTGGATTTTCCCTGTTCTTGGTTGTCCGTGTACACATAGTCATTGTATTAAAAAATTCTGTTCAAAGTTGTTTTATTTGTTTGTTTAAATCGACCTACCATGAAACACCAATAAAATGTTTGACATAGTTTTACTTTTTTTTTTTTGACTCTAATACCTTTTTTATTGACAAAATAAAATAAAACCCTCTTAACTTATGGTTCATAGGCTATCTAAATGTATAGAGTTTTCAGTTTCTTTTTCCCCTTCCATCTTCCTCCTTTTAATGTTCTCATATGTTATATCCTCACTCAGGCTTCAAGTTGCTTTTTTTTTTTTTTTTTTTAATTTCTCTCCCCTCCCTCCTTTTCTCACAGTCTTGGGCATTGAATCCAGGGCCTCATGACAGCTAGACAAGCTGTTCTGCTGCTGAGTTACATCCCCAGTCCCATGGCTGATTCTCAAGCTTTCAAATTGCCTGTGATTTACCCTCAATAACATTTTCCTAAGTTCCTGTGAGGAGGCATATCGAACAGGTTTATTTAAAATTTAGAACAAGTTATTTTTTATGAAGTTTTCCTTTTACGTGATGTTTTTAAGCTTACGCTGTCACTAGTAAATTGAAAGTCTCCTGAGTGAGCAAGTTTTGATTAGAGGTGACACAAAATTCTTAACTATGTTTTGTTAAGAGCAACACTGGCAGAGAATGACTGACCTTTACAATGGCTGAATTGCTATCTAGTGAACCTGTGTTAACTGCTGACCTTACAGAGTTCTTCAGTAGGGCATTACATTACAGGGTGTGCTTGGGATCAGATGTGACCGACCCTCACCCTGGCATAAGTTTGAATGTCTTTCCATTTCTTTCCTACACGATTGCACACTATGTAAGGCCACTTTAGCCTTTCTTTGATCACGTGTTCATTGGGAAGGCAGCCTCCTGCTGATACAGGAAGGTAAGTCTGTAGTTTCCTCCTGCATAACCTCTCTACCTGAAATAAAAGCAAATCTAAAAGAAGTCTCTCACGTGAACACATTTATTAGGAAGCAGGGTCTCTGGAAGCTGGGGAAAGTTCCTTCTCTGCTCATAAGTAATCCTAGACAGTCTCACTGTGTAACCAAGACTGGACTCAAATGCAGTTCTCTTGCATCTGCCTCCCCAGTGCTGGAATTACAGGTATGTACTGTTGTGACCAGCCTTCTTTTTTTTGAACTAATGTAAATTGACTATGGTGCTAAATCTGTTTTGTGTACTAAAGGTTGCAAGTCATGATGAAATAGCTATCAGATCAGGTTATAAAAGGTAAATTAACCTTTAATAAACATCCTTTCACCTCCCTGCCCCTCCGTCCAAATCCTGTGTTGACTCTGATCTCCTGAGCCCACTCAGAAATGCTGTAGGTTGTCATTTTCCAACACCCTTTCTCACTCATTTGTGAGGGGAGAAGCTCTGAACGCTTTGCAAAAGGTGAGAGAGAAGGACATCATGTGAACAGAAGGGACAATTTTATTACAAAACATTTTGTTAATTCTTTGGTGACTCTGATTTTCATGTTGGTAGGTTTGATTTCAGTTTTAGGAATCAAAGATAATCCTAAACTGGGTGCTAGTGGCTTATGCCTAAAATCCTAGCTATTCAGAGGCAGAGATTAGGATGATGGAGCTTCGAAGCCAGACCCAGGTAAATAGTTCTGTAAGACCATATCTCAAAAATACTAAACACAAAAAACAGCTGATGGAATGTCTCAAGGGGTAGAATGCCTGCCTAGCAAGTGCAAAACCCTGAGTTCAAACTCTAGTTCTGCTAAAAATATTAGTAATAACTGCCAAGATTAATAAAATTCAAAAGAGAAAAATGGTAAATGGTAAACTGCTGTTCAAAATTATACACTAGGCAGGCACCAGTGGCTCACACTTTAATCCTAGCTACTCAGGAGGCAGAGATCAGGAGGATCACTGTTCAAAGCCAGCCTGGGCAAGTAGTTCGGGAGACCCTATCTCAAAAAAACTCATCATGAAAAAGGGCTGGCAGAGAGGCTCAAGGTGAGTTCAAGCCTCAGTACCACAAAAAAAAGATTATGTATAATCATATATATATTTCCAGACAACTGTGTTTGAATTATTGATGTGTGGTACCTTGCAAAAGACTAAAAATAGGCTGATGGTGGAGGCAATGGAGCAGCACTTAAGTGACTGCAAATTGCTGTACAGCTTGGTGAGTTGCTTTTAGACTCTAAAAGGGAGACTAATGCCTGTTTTATATCTCATACATAGGATTGTCTTAATAATTAAGGTTGAATGATAGGGAAATTTATTTTTTTATTTTCTGAGACATGGTCTCCCTGTGTAGCCCAGGCTGGCCTCAAACTTGCAATCCTCCTGCCTCAGTCTCTAGAGTGCTGGGATTACAGACAGGTGCCACCATGCCAGGCATGAGAGTAAAACTTATTAGAACATTAGAAGTTGTTCAATAAATGTTAACTTCTTTGTCTTTACTTTGAGATACCTGTGAAAAGACAGGGGTTCTGGAAAGTCAATGAGTAGCAGCAAACTTCCTAGTAGGCGGGAACTTCACTTATTTCTCACAGTGGCCTTGAGTGTCATAAGCCTTTTTGTTTTTAGTAAGATACTCCTAGGTATTATACCAAGTGAGGTAAATAGGAACCATTTTCTTTAGAACAGTGTAACAAGTTTAGTGTTTCTAGTCATTTCGAGAAGTTTCCTTATCACTATGGTATTTTATTGTTACTCTTCTTATCACTATGGTGTTTCATCATTACTCTTCCTCAACTTTCCCAAGAATTAGTTACCTGATGTTTTCATATCTTTTACAGCTTTTTTTTTTAATTTGGAGGTACTCAGAGCCTCACACTTGCTAAGCCACATTTTTTGCTTTATTTTCTAGTTGGAGGCTGGCCTTGGACCATACTCCTATCTATGTCTCCCATGTAGCTGAGATTACAGGTGTATGCCACCACACCTGACCAGAGAGATGCTTCAGCACTGAGATATCTCATTGGCTACACAGCCAGGGTTGTTTAACAGCTTTTCCAGAAGTCACCTTGGCCCCACTTCTAGAGCTGCTTCAGGATGCTGGAGCAACAAGTGGTTTCTAAAGCAGTTAATGATGGGGGACGTTGAGCAGATCACGTTCTGAGTTCATCTAGCCTTTGCCTTTCCTCCCCAGGTGGAGTCACCGGACCAAAAGATGAATGGTATAAGGAAGTCAATTCAAGACTTGCATAAAGCCAGGAGCAGTGACTGTAATCCTAACCACTTGGGAAGCAGAAATCATAAGGGTCATGGTTTGAGGCTGACCTGGGCAAAAAAAAAGCGAGACCTCATCTAAATAAGCTGGGCATGTTGGTGCATGTCTGTGATCCCAGCTACAAAGGAGGTCATGAGTAGAAGAATTACTGCTAGAGGCGGGCCCTGGGAAAAATGTGAGGCCCTACCTGAAAACTAAATCAAAAAAGGCTAAAGGTGTGTCTCAAGCACAAGTTCTTCCTGAGTTCAAACCTCAGTACCAAAAAAAAAAAAAAATCCAGCAACAAGAATGAGAAAGTCAGCAAAGAAATTAAGATTCTGAGAAAAAAAAAAGTAAATTAAAAATGCTACATTAAATCTAATAAAAACGAGTAGAAAGCATCACCAATAGACTAGAACAGAAGAAACAGTATCTGGGATTGAGCAAAAGTCCAGGAAAGACTACATTCAGATGACAAAAAAGATAAAAACAAGCATGACCACAACTGTCAGGAACTCTGAGACATGATCAAAAGACCAAACCTAAGAATCCATGGGGTAGAATGAGCTGAGATACAAACTAAAGACACAGAAAACCAATGAAATTATGGCAGAAATTATGACCAGAAAAGAACCTCTGCATGTCACATTATAGTTAAAATGCCAAGAGTACAGAACAAAGAAAGCATATTGAAATCTGTAAGAGAAAAATGCCAACTTGCTTATAAAGGGAACCCATCAGAATTGAATCAGACCTCTCAGCAGAAACCTTTAAAGCAAGGAATGATAAAATTTCAAGCTCTTAGAATAAACAACTCTCAACCAAGATTACCAAGAATATATCCACCTAAGTTATCCTTTAAAATCACTGGAAAGATAAAGACCTTTTGAGGCAGACTAAGTTAGGGATAGTCTGGGTCTGCTCCCCGCCTTTGACTGGAGTGAAAGGATCCATATTGTCTCCCCACC